ACATTTTCTCGAACACCCGGTTGGACAGACAGATTGCAGCCGGGATTTAAGAGTTTTAGGCAAAAAGCCGTGACTGAGAGGTTTGTCTAATTCTCCACCCTGAATAAGTTGAGCGAAGTCGAAGCCTCTGTAAATTTTCAGATATCTTAGTCCGGATAATTCTTCCTTATGACTCTCTATAGTTACTGAATTGAGTACATGTACTTTTTGGGTGAATACTAAGGTTTTGATAAATTTAATTCACCTTTTAAGTCGCTGTAAGGTTACCATAAACCCAGGAATTGTGGTTTTGAACCACGGGCATTTGACTGGCTACAATTCGATCCAGATTGCAGAGTATGATGTCTTCATGTGTCAGTAACTGATAATATCGAAAAACAATTGCGAAGGAAATACGAATTCCGAGGATTCGTACTACTATGCTATTAGTCTTTCACATATTTCATTTGTCAAATGCTATTCGAACGGGAAGTTTAGTCCTAACGTGATTTACATTTCTCAAACTTTTGTTGTGTTCTTACGCAACAAAAGTACCATTTCCAATCTAAAGAATCTATTCTGAGCTATACGTTCGGTAGATTACTTCTTTTTTTTGTGTTTCACTCAAATTAATAGTTAACTGTGGTTTTGCCTCAGCTCACTATCGGTTTTTTTTATAGTTTTCACGTAAAGGCTAGCTTTGGCTTATAGTTAACTGTTTTTATACATTTTTGCCAGTTTTTGTTTACTGTGTGTTTTTTTAACGGTCCTAAATTTACTGCTTGTATTTTTAAGACAGTCTAAATCACTAGCCATGAAAAGTTCATGCAAGAGACCTGGTTGCCGTTTTGCCGTTACATCTGGCATGCAATGTGACAACTGTAAAGGTTGGTTCCATGAGGCATGTACAGATCTAACAGCAGCAGCCTATAGCAGACTCAGCAAGTCTGATCGTAGGTGGGTATGTGTTACCTGCAACACCGATACGGTAGTTATGTTGGGTACTATCATTACTTTACTGACAGGTCTGAGAGATAAGTTGTCTAAGAATTCGGTAAATGATAGCATCATGACGGGTAACAAAGCTGGAACGCATAGGGCAAATAAGAAAAAGGATACTGACAGGTCGGTTATCGACGGTGCTGTTAACAGCACGAGTGATGATGTGCGGAAACTCAGCACCATCTTAACATCGACTGTCATCGACTCCCTCAGAAAACTTGGGTCCCCCGGGGAACGGTCCTTGAATAAGACAGTGGTTCCCAAAAATCCTGTAGGTGGATGGACTCACGTTAACAGGAGTAATAAAGCCCAAGCGTCCCCTCCGAAACTGAACGTCCCAAGTATCGTGCGGAAATCAATTGATGCTTTGGCCACACAGTCTACACCCAAAACTGTCCGCCCGGTCATCACTGAGCCCAGGAATCGAAAACGCGCCTCGACATCCAAACAACAAGATTCCAAACCTAGACGCCCTGGAAAACCTGGGAAATCAATTGCGGTTCGTGACGACTCTGTCATAATCATGAACCTTATTGACAACCCCGACCTTCCTCTCAGTTTGCAGGACAAAAACGATAGGATGCTCTGGGGAGAATTAAACAAGAGGCTTGAACTCCTAGAATACAGCCTTTGACCATCACACGGCTCACTCGGGGGAAGGACTCTAACCACCTAAACCACACGAGGCTGCTTCGTGTTACACTTAAGAATGCCTCCGACGTAGAGGACTTCCTGCTATCCAGTCACTTACTGAAGTCCGATGGGAACGTAAGAATACTGCCCGACATACCGTATTCTGAACGAAATCTCATCCGTAACATCCCTAAGGAATCTCGCGAGGCTTTTTTCCATGGACGAAATATCATTGTGCAAGGTGTGCCGTAAAATATGGACCCAACTCAAGCAAACTCTGATATTTGGGAATGGAAATTCATCAAGCATTCCTTAAAACTCAAGAACATATTGACCCAACAGGTAATGCGACTGGCCAAGAGAGACGGAGACTCTAGGCCCCGGCTGCTGAAGATAACCTTCCCCCCCTGCCACATGGCGGCTGCAACTCTGGAAGCATTTCGTGCCAATAGACGTCGGTTGCCAACTGGCATCCATATGCATCCGGATAGGCCCCACGACAGCAGGATCAAGCACAAACGAAAGCTGGAGCTGACAATTCCACTCATAGACTGTTTTGATCATTAAAAAAACGTGTAAAGGACAGGGACTACCAACTCGGCTAACATCGTATCGGTAGGCTACCTGTCCACTCACACACGGCTCATATAGAGAAACAAGAAGAAGCTCACGCGTTCCAAATTGAAAGCATAAACTGCCTATACACGAACGCCGCGAGCTTGCCAAACAAAATGGATGAGCTACGTGAACTTAGGAACGCTAATGATGCCCATCTGATAGGAATACCCGAAACTTGGATAACGTCTCAGTTTACGGACCAAGAGTTAGGAATAACTGGGATGTCTTTATTTCAAAACGACAGAAAAACAGGAATGGGGGGTGGGGTAGCACTATACGTACGGTCATGCCTGGATGCGCACGAACTTCACAACCAAGAGTTTCACAATCTTGACGAGTCAGTATGGTGCTCAGTAAGATTATCTACCACCTCGAGGTGCCTAGTTGGGGTCGTTAACAGGAAGCCCACTGCCGAAATCGAATATAACAAATGTCTGCTGGAAGGATTAACTCGCTCTACGCGTCTCGGATTCTCTCATATCCTGATTCTAGGGGATTTCAATCTCCCTAAAATCAACTTCGTGGAACATACATACATTGGTGGTGCCAACTCTACTGAAGCTCTGTTCTTCAACCTTATCGGCTACCTGGGATTATTTGAAAATGTGAAGTCGGCAACCCGTTGGAGAAACAGTCAGACGCCGTCACGCTTAGACTGGGTATTCACAAATGAAGAATTCCTAGTTGACGATCTCTCAATCCTGGCCCACTGGGGAAAAGTGATCACGCCGTCTTATCATTCAGCTTTGTCAGCAAAACGGAGCTACGATATCCTACTAGCAACAAGCGTTGAAACTTCAAACGGTTGAATGTGTTAGCTTTACAGGACTATCTACAACAGTTGGATTGGGATGTTCACCCTCAAATTGAAGTGGATGCTCATTGGGATTTTTTACTGCACACGATCTTATGTGCTACTGAGCATTCAGTTCCTAAAATGGTCCCAAAAAGCTACAAGCAACCTGCAATCATCAAGAACCGCACTCGTCGTTTGCTAAGCCGCAAAAGGCACTGTTGGGCTGAATATAAACGAACGGATAACAACGGCGCGTACAGGCAATACAAACATATAAGGAACACATGCACAAAGGCAATAAGAGAAGACAGGCTTCAGTTCCAGACCAAGCTTATCGATAGATTCGTCTCCAATCCGAAGAGCCTGTTCAGTTATGCAGCTTCTCTTCGACAAGGCAAAACTGGAGTTTCCCAACTGCTTGGTCCTAATGGCCCGACCAATAACGACAGTGATGCCGCTAACCTTTTGGCTGAACAATACTCCCAGACATTCCAGCTGACCCACATCAACCATACTGACGAAAGCTTCACCGACCAGTGGCCCTTCTCTCCATACCTTCAAAAATTATGGAATCCCTAGTATTCGACAGCATACTAGAACACTTATCATCCTCAAAGTTCTTCTCGCCTCAACAGCATGGTTTCAGAAAAGGTCATTCTTGTATGACCAACCTGCTGACTGCGGTGGATAGATGGACAACCATCCTTGATCGCAAGGGAAAGGTTGACGTCATCTACCTGGACTTCTCAAAAGCTTTTGATAGGGTCAACCATGCAGGTCTTATCAAGAAGCTTGGACGATTGGGTATAAAATCCCCTTTAATTGATTGTCTCTCTTCATATTTAGAAAACCGACACTTTAAGGTCAGGGTTAACTTCACTCTCTCTCAAGCTATGGAATGTCCTAGTGGGGTCCCTCAGGGCTCAATACTAGGACCTCTTCCCTTTTTGATTTACAATGACGATCTTCCCCAACAAGTTTCATCTGACTTATTGCTTTTTTCTGATGATGTGAAACTTTGGAGAGAGATACGTAATTATAATGATATACTAGTTCTGCTGGAGGATCTGACTCGACTTCAAAGTTGGGCAGACGACAACGGACTTGCCTTCAACACTTCAAAGTGCAAGGTAGTCCATCTGAGACATGTTGCAGACTGTAGTTATAACTTAGGTAACTCACCTCTAGAAGTTTCCCAAGTTGAAAAAGATTTAGGAGTGTTGGTACCCTACGACCTGAAATCGTATGCGAACTGTGACAAAAACGCCTCTCAAGCAAACCTTGCACTGGTAACATTGGAGCGCATTTTTGGCCAGTTTGATGGTAGAACCTTCCATATAGTCTTCAACAGTTTTATTCGTCCCCATTTAGAGTACGGAAACATAGTATTTCCTCCCTCCTTCCAAAAGGATAAGGTCACTCTGGAACGTATACAACGTCGAGCCACGAAATCAGTTCGGGGTCTCAAATTCAAACCTTATGAAGAGCGCCTCAAATCACTTAACCTTTACCCGTTAGAGTATAGGCGTCTTAGAGGTGATCTTCTTATGACTTATAGTATCCTTAATACTTCTGGTCATCCCCTTAAACAACTTCTTAAGCTTAGTCATAACACTAACCTCAGAGGTAACACCAAGAAATTGGAGACCCTACATAGCAGAACAGACTGCAGACACAACTTCTACTCCGTTAGAGTTGTCAAGTGCTGGAATTTGCTGCCGACTGAGCTAGTCCAAGCGACCTACCAGGAGTCCTTTAAGAGGAAACTTGACTTATTCTTAAGGACTAAGGATAACATATTATTATGATTTACCAAGCTCTTTTTTTCTTCTATTATCGTTCATATACCTAGGTTCTTGCCTGGAGATATTGGTGATCCACTGCTACCAGACACGGAAGCCCGTTAAGCGAAAGCTTCTTCGATTCCGTCCTCAACCACTTGAACCATTTGAACCATTTGTTTTATTGTTCAAGCGTTCAGATTTCAGTTTGTGACTTTTACAAATTGATGCGTTGCAGTGTTTTAGAATGTTATGTAGGGTTTTGTGTTACTTTGCGTTTAATTCAAGGGATCTACTAGGTGTACGATCAACATGTTTTAAGTGTGGGCCATGCAGACCGAAATGGATGAAAATGGTAGATAATTTGTACTCTGGCAGTCCCCAGGTTTGCTTGAATTCTATTTTTTTATATGTCACGAATTTTTTAGGATACTAATAACCATAATAAACTTATACACTATTGCTTACACCAACCTGATAAGCTGGATCGAATTGCCAAGTATTTGCACCTGAGACTTTCACAGGATCTTAGTAGGCGTTATGACCAGTAAGTTTGTTTAATGTTTATTTCTTCAAGAAATATAGCGATATCCGTCAAAGCTATTGACAAACTAATACAAGTTTGTCATGGTCACAGATTGGTTTTGGCTATCAGTTTTCTGAAGATGATCCAACTGCTTCTGGAGACTAATCGCGTGGACCTGCAAATAGTGGCCTCCAAGTCGGCAAGTCACCAGTCCTTTTTGGTTAATTTAGGTCAAGTTTGTAGAGTTTTCTAAAATAGACGATGATTCTCCTAATTATCACAAAGAATGTAATGAGATTCTTGACCATTTTGCTGCTATGGCTCACGCATCACTTCCCAACCCACAAGAGCGTAATGCGTAAGTTCCTATTGATTTTCTCAAATGCTTCCAGTGTCAGAGTGGCAGGTATACAAGGAATCCAAGGCGTTGTTCGTAAAATGGCCAGTGATCAGCTAATACTGGAGGTTCACGAGTCAAATATGGACAAAATCGTACCTCCACTTCTATTCAACATGTGTGACAAGTAAGATGTCAAAACAAATTGTCTAGTTATAATTTAAAATTTGAGAAATAGACTGTCTTTTGACCTTTCATGAAATAGTTTATCGAGGATGGTTTTGCGAATTTCGGGCATTTACACCAATACTTTATGCTCATAATATTAGCTTACGAACGTAGAAATTGTACTTGCATATTATTATTATTATTATTATTATTATTATTATTATTATTATTATTATCAGAATGGGGGTTTGTGGAAATTGTGGTAATTCGGTAGTTAAGTTCATGAGTTGATTTAAGCCAGATCACCCTGAAATACCTGGAAGCACTGAACGGCTGTGACCAGTGGAGTCCAACCGTGTCTGTTGTGAGGCAGTTACTCACTGAGGACAATAGTGGACGGTCACGCAATATCGTGGATTGGTTGAATTTAGACATTGACACCGTCGGATGCCGGCTCAGTAGTCTAAAGGTTAAGCGCTAGTGCGCGACACCGAAGGTCCTGGGTTCGAATCCGGTGTGCAGGATCGTGGATACGGGCTGCTGAGCAGTTCGATACTGGGACAAAAAGGCCGTCCAGTGCTTCCTGGTTTTTCAGAGTGTTCTAGCTCAAATCAACTCGTGAATTCAACTTTTAACGTAGATTTTATTCGGGAACATCCGCTTGCTTATTCTTTCTATGGGTTTCGTAACTTTACAGTTCTGTGATCCTATAAATTTCAACCCCGAAAGTGTTCCATATCCTTATAATTCTCACAGTGATCTGGTCAAAAGCAATCATTGTAACCTATTTGTTGTCGTTCGGTTTATATAGTTCTTATATCCGACCGAAGCATTATAAGTGTATGCATCAATCAATATTAGTGGTATCGTGGTTACGTAGCATACCTTAATGTTCGGTTCTGAATTCGGTCTGAAAGCTATCAGTGCCACAATAGATTAGTCAGTCGTTTAATACAAACTACTTGTGTCATAAGTTCAGTTGTTTCCAAGTACTATTCAGAGCGAATTAAGCTCAAGTAGGAGCTGAGAGTACATGTGTTGATTTTAAAAGCGAAAATGATCAAGATATTTCTGGAAATCACAATTGGATTGTTTTGAATTATTTAAATAAAATCACAATTAAGGCCTCAAAAAATTGCTTCAGTGATTTTATCTCAGTTACAATAAGTCTACTGATAAAAAGGACATCAAAAAGTAGTTCGTTTGACCACAATGTCTTAAAATAAACCTTCCAACTTTGATCGAAGTCAAAAGGGTCGGAGTCAGTCAGGAGCAAGATCTATCCAGATATCGATAATGTAATAAGAAGACGCAGATTATCAGAACTATGTGATGATATATTAGCGCAGTACATTTCGAACAATCTGATCACACATATACTTGTTAAGAACAAACTGTTTTTGAATACACAAAGGAGGTTTGGATTTTCGTATGGCTAAGGCTTCAATAAACCTCAGTATACGCCCTTTTACACTTTTAAACAACACAACAAAAGCCGAGTTCAGATTAATCTTATGACCTGTTTTGATAACATGTTTGGCAATAGATGATGATGGATGTTTATCCTCTACTCTTATTGGGTCATTCGACTCTATTTGTTTGTTCTCTCCTTAAACCTACCCTGGTAATATATGCTTATTATCCAGAGTGATTAGGTGTCAAATTGTTTTCACATTATTTTTATCATTATTATCTGTGTCTATTCTTACCCCTATTTCCAGTGTAGTTGACCTTTTATTTTTATATATAAATGTTAATTATCAGAAGGGGTTTTGTGGAGATTTAGTATTTATCATAGTTGAAAGCGTGAGTCAATTGAAGCTAGACCACCATGGAAAACCTGGAAACACTGGACGGCCGTTTCATCCTATTATGGGACTCCTCAGCAGTGCGCATCCATAATAGAACGAAACGGCCGTCCAGTGTTTCCAGGTTTTCCATGGTGGTCTAGCTTCAATTGACTCACGCTTTCAACTATGATATATAAATGCTCTTAACAAGTATATGTGTGATCAGATTGTTCGAAATATATTGCGCTAATATATCATCACATAGTTCTGATAATCTTCGTCTTATGACATTATCGAAATTTATCAAAGGGACTAATTGCTTTAAATTTCTATTCAGATCATTTACCGGCTGAAGTCAAGTTTCCATTTAGATCAAATTATTAAGTAAGACATTTCAATCTTATCGATCTGAACTCCTAGTTGTTCTACTTGATGTGCGAGAACATCCCACTTTTTTAACCATAGAGAAATAAACCGATCCATTTTTTCTGAAGTCCTGGAAAAAATATTTTAACTGACGGAGCAAGAGTACTACTAAGTAAAGGAACATTACTAACGTAGTTTAAAAGTAGTTGATCAGTTCCTCACCATCTTCCTTAGTGTATTAGTTCCCTCGATTAACTCACAAAAAGTCATGAGATTAAGTCGAGATAAATTAGCCAAGAACGGAGTGAGCCTTTTTTAAGTAAAGTAGTCGAACTGTGTTCGGTGTATCATAAACTATTGCCCGCCATGAGGCTCGGTCACCGATCAAGTATAAGCACATCGGTAAATATCTTAGTGGTACGATGAAGAATCTCTTATAGGAAAACCTATGTTTTTCTAATGTAGCTTGACAAACGTTGCAAATTAACACCAAATGGTATGAGTTGCAATTAATCGTGATGATGTTCGTTCTTATAGTTTTCTTCCAACATCCTTCTTTTTTGTGTGTAGTTGTTTGTTATTTACTCATATTCTTATTTTAAGTGTTTATCATATTTTAAGGAATATTCCACTTGTACTGTTGAACCTGAATAATATAGTATAAGGCCCTTCATTGCTAAGTACAAGCACATATTATTGTTCATTTCGTAAAACTATACACCGCGCGTGCAGTTATTGAAGTTGTTTCCCACTACCTTTCCATTTATTATTGTCTTCCCACATTTTTAGCTGGTTTTCAGTGTTTATTAGTTTTATTTGTTTCAGAAAAATAATTTTGATGTATTCATATGATTTTCAGACCAGGTTATTCATTTAAGAGAATATTCTTTGACGTTATTTAGATTAATAGCTATAAACGGTGAGAATATGAATTGTCGTATATAGAAGCATACAGTCTAAATTATTTTCTCAGGAATTCGAACTTTCCATATGTGTAGAAAATCTATGTTATGTAGCTTACAAATAAGTTAACATAGTGTTCAGCTAACTGGATATACAGATCAGTCCAGTTTCCAGATAGATTTATTCACAGATTGATGTTAGTTAAAGAGTCACTCAAGGTCAAAGAACACCTAAAATCCACGTAACAATATATATCAAATTGATGTATATATATATATATATCATCGATGATTTGTTTATGTCTTGAAAGTAGTTGCTCATATCAAATGGAATATTAGCTTACGTTTCCACTTTTCTTTATGAATATTTCAAACGATAAGTTTATCATCTTTTGGATAATTATATATATATATAAACTTTTAATATTTATTTGGTCTTAGTATTTACCTGCGTTTATGTATATTTAATTTTACATGAACCATGATTATATCACAGGTTATATCGCAATACCCTTAAAAGATATTACTTGCTATTATAGATGAAATTCTAATTTAATATACTTTTTTCTGAAAAACCCTTGTTTCGAAGGTCTGAAATGGATTCCAGTTCAAATGAATCACAATGTGATCCTTCACAAGAAGCTGTATATGTGTTCGAAGATATTGTTAGACAAGCTTCTTATACAAATATTAAACCTGTGGTAACATCTATTTTAACGTAAGTTTGTGTTTCATGTATCAGAATAAATAACACGATGACTTTGTTTTTGTATATTTGAAGAACTTTCGCAGCTGGTTTTTCCATACTTAATACAGCAGCGTGTGTTTACAAGTCGGAGATACATATTTTATGTGCTAACATGTGCACAGTATCTTAAAAAATATTAGACAACTAAATGGCACACCAAGACAAACAGTTCAATTGCGAGAGAATTGCTATTCATGCAGGTCGCAATTAGAAAGGTATTACAAAACAAGATAAAATTTAAGTTTCAGGCAAATAGAAAAAAGGTCAGTCACTCAGTTATAAGCAGCATACAACTTGTTACATATGTACATCTGTTCAATTTAACACGCTAAAACAACAAAGAAAGATAAAAAGTTTCTAGACAAATTTCAGAGTAATTGAAGTAGTTAAAAAAATTAGGCACATAAAATAACACGCGAGAAAAATTAATTCGCAAAATTGAAAAGATAAAGTAATTTTAAAACTTAGATTCTGAGGGAAGATAAGGAGTGAATGCATCTGGAGCATTGCAACCAACTTCAGTAATCGTTTGAACCCCAAACAAATCGTCTACATCTATCGAGATGTCTCAGACTAATAATTAAGGACGATCTAGGGATATATAACGTCCTAGTTCATTGTATTACATCTTTATTGGATGAATTGCTTTAAAGACTTATTCCATTGAATCGTGTAATGTTGTTGGAAGTCTTTTTACCCTTATTTATTTATTCAATATTATAATCTGGTACAATATAGAATTCTCAGCGGCAGCCTGCTTGAATACCTGGGTTACCTGTTTCTGCCATCTAAATATTTCAAAAAGTTATCTGTTTTTTTTAATTTGTTTTAACACGTCATTATGTCTAATAATCGTATAATCTATACAGACGCGTTTATGAAAAGCGTACGTCCTTTCGCTGCAAAAATTACAAACAAGTACAATAAGAGACATTGTGGTGGTTGGCAATATGCATTAAAGAGAATAAACATTAGTCAAATGTCGATTCCCGAGCTGCTAAATTCTAACTACCGATCACTGATTAATGAGGTGGACTATCTCCAATTCATACTAAGTCAAAACATATATCGTAATTGTGGTGTCATCACAATTCAAGAATCTTGCTTAACTGACTTACAGGACGATTGCTTAGTATCATTATGTGATTTCAATATCTATCGTCAGGAACGATCAAAAAATAAAAAGAGGTGTGGCGGTGGTATAGTTACGTTTGTAAACGTTAACTGGTGTTGATCTACTTTTGCTTGTTTCAAGTTTTCAAATGACTTTATCGACTGTCTAACTTTGATACGCCATTCAAAACACCTGTGTTTACGTTACTAACATCTACATGGCTCCAGACTGTACATCATCTGCGCTATCTGTCTTCGCTGATAAATTTGCTGAATTCGTCGTTACTGCCTTCAGTGGTTCACTTTCAATTGTATGTGGTGATTTCAATTAATGTAACTAGTTTCCTTACATCACTAGGTCACCTAAATGTAGTAGATTTTCCTACTCGTTTGAATGCCCATCTAGACTTGGTTTTCATTAATGATGTGCGTACACATGTGACTCGCAAACGTGCTCCATTGTCTAGCTCGGATCACTGTATAATTCGTGTTCTACCTAAAGTATATGGTAAACATGGAAAGAATACACACTTACACCACACCAAAAAAGTCATATATAGGAAATACTCAGAAGAAAATATACAAAATCTGAAAAACATGTTTCGTACGACTAACTGGGAATTATTTACAGATGACTTACTAGAAAACACTACTGACGTTATCACCCGTTATCTTAAATTCTGTTTTGATATTTGCCGTCCTCCCGAAACCTTCTTTTTAAGTTCTGATCGACTTACATCTCCACAACTAAAACGACTACGGAGGGAAAAAGAAAGAATGTACAAGGAGAAAAACACTATTGAAGTTCGTAAGTTAAATGGTCAAATAAACCTAGAGATTAGACGTCTCAACTCTATGTTTACTCAGAAACTCCTATCTTGTAAGTATGTGGAAACTCTTTAAAGAAATTACTGGGGATAGGCAGACTAGAAGCGATAAGCAGCTGAATGTTTGTGACTTAAATAAGTCTTTTGTACGTCAGTCATCTGACATCATGTTCCCTATATCCACAGGTTCGAAGAATAATTGTGTTCCCAGTTTCACTGAAAATGATGTCCGAAAATGTCTCCAGTCACTTAATTCATCCCAATGTTTAGGACATGATTGTATCCCAAAGCTACTTTTTTAAAAATGTGCTGACGTTCTATGTTATTCTTTCAAGACTATCTTTAACAGATCCTTCTCAACTAATCTCATACCATAAATGTGGTGAAAGATAAAGATAATCCCTATATCTAAGGAAGTATCTCGCGATAAAAATGTCAGATTTAGACCCATAGCAATAACTTCACCTTTCCTCAAAATAATGGAAAAATTATTGATACTCCCACTTCAACCTGCAATAAAAGAGCACAGTGATTCGTATCAGTTTACTTACAAATGCAAAAGAAGCACATTAGATGCCTTTGCTATTTCGCATCACAATGTAGTGTTCGGGTTGGAAAAGGGTAAGAAGTATGTTCGATGCGCTTTCCTGGACTTTACTTCTGCTTTTGATTCTATTCCAAGACACCTATTACTTAACAAGCTGATCAGCGTCAACACTGACAGCTGGATAACCGATCGGCTATGTTCCTACCTTTCTGGAATAGAACAGTACACTGTGTTTGAATGAAAGTGTTCAACATCTCTACTGTAGGTGTGCCACAAGGAGCTGTTCTTTCACCTCTCCTTTTTTCTTTTTTCCTGCATGATCTTCCATCTTCTACAGAAAACGCTTTTGTGAAATATCTGAACGACCTCACTGTATGTATGCCGATTTCTACCTCCTTACATCCCATAGAAATGGACGAGTTTTTATCTCGTATTGAATGGTGGTCTGTTGATAATGGTCTCTTACTTAATCCATCTAAACGTCAGGCTGTTAACTTTAGCCTGAGACATGGACAGAACCTATACACTATTTTGGGATCCCATAATGCTTGTGCCATTGGGGACTCCTTGATAAACACAGTGTCGAAGGTCAAATATCTTGGTGTTACTTTTTCCTCTGATCTCTCTTGGTCTTCTCATGTTTTACTGTTATCGAAAAAGCTTACCGTTTGACTTACTACATAAAGAGGCTGCATGCTTTTGGGATTACTCGCCATTTACTCTTACAATTTGTAAATTTTTGCATATTACTTATTCTTTACTGTTCTTCATTATTCTTTCCCGGGCTTTTGAGAAAAGACTTTGCTGTTTTGCGGATAGTGCTGAAGGCAATTCGCAAGGTGTGTGGTGAATCTTTTGAGGTCATTATTAATATGGTTGTGGATAGACATCTTAAGTCTTGCAGTTCTCGACTTGCTAATGCCCATATCTTGGCTTAACATAGAATGGGCATGAGAAATAAGCCTAAGTTCTGAGGAAAGCCCCTACTATGTCTATTTGTTTGTCTCAGCTTCATTTAAGGAAGAATCCAGTACAATTAACAATAGTCATATGCTTGTAATAATAACCTTTTGAAAGCGTCATCGCATAATTTTCTAATTCTTGGAGGCACCGGTGGTCTCCTCATGGTTTTCAATCTTGGACTTATCATCAGGCTACTGGCAGGTTGGGGTACACCCAAAGGACAGAGCCAAGACGGCATTTTTTATTCAGTTCGGGTTATACAAGTTTCAAACAATGCTCTTCGAACTGACTAATGCCCCTGCGATCTTTCAAACACTCATGCAATTATTCCTGAAGGATTTAGTCCCAAAGGTGTACATGGTTTATCTAGATGATATTGTTGTTTCTAACAACAACCTCAATGGACATCTTTACTGTCTTCAGCCAGTGTTACAGTGACTTAGTGATGTTGGTTTAAAGGTTCAGCTTAGTAAATGCAACCTATCGCGTAAGAAAATAACCTTTTCGGGTCACCTGATGATGTTCGCAGTGGTCCGGAAAAAGTGGCTGCCGTAAAAACTGACTCGTATCAATCTTACCTGATGCTGTATATAGTGTTCTTGGTTTAGCGAGTTATTACAGATGTTTCATAAAAAGCTATGAAGGAATAGCTAGCCACCTCATGCGTTTAAAGGAAAAATATATAGAATTTGGGTGGTCGGAAAGTTGCAACAACGTGTTTAATTCTCTAAAAGACGTGCTCTGTTCAGCACCCGCAATAACACTTCCGAACACTTCGATTTATTTCGGTAAGTACACCTTAGATACAGACGCAAGCGAAATAGGAATTGGAGTGATCGTGTCCCAGATTGGACTTAATGGCAAAGAGCATGTTATTGAGTATAAAAGTCACATTGAACCGGTCTGAAAAGAATTATTGTGTTACACGAAAAGAGATGTTAGCGGCCATGACATTCATACGGAAATACAGACCATATTTTCTCAGCAGACACTTCATACTAAGAACCGCTCACAAATCACTCCAGTGGCTGCGGAATTTCAATGACTGAAAAGGGCAAACCGCACGTTGTCAAGAATATCTTCCGGAATTTGATTTTGAATGCATCCACCGGCCGGGGCACCAACATAAAAATTCAGATTCCCTATCATGACGATTAGTCAAACTGCATGAAGACTGTTCCCTTGTAAAACATTCGAAATTCTTTCCATCTCTCTAGCCGGAATTGGTAATACAGAGTGGGCGTATATACTAGCCACATATGGTGAAAAACCCCTACTATACCGAGCTGTCCGCGACAATGCGAAAGGCTACCTGAACTGTAAATCAAAGGGAAGAGTTGGGAAACAAAGTATTTGTGGGCGTTGTAGGGCCAGCCTACTCTTTCCGGACCACTGCGAACATCATCAGGTGACCCGAAAAGGTTATTTTCTTACGCGATAGGTTGCATTTACTAAGCTGAACCTTTAAACCAACATCACTAAGTCACTGTAACACTGGCTGAAGACAGTAAAGATGTCCATTGAGGTTGTTGTTAGAAACAACAATATCATCTAGATAAACCATGCACACCTTTGGGACTAAATCCTTCAGGAATAATTGCATGAGTGTTTGAAAGATCGCAGGGGCATTAGTCAGTTCGAAGAGCATTGTTTGAAACTTGTATAACCCGAACTGAATAAAAAATGCCGTCTTGGCTCTGTCCTTTGGGTGTACCCCAACCTGCCAGTAGCCTGATGATAAGTCCAAGATTGAAAACCGTGAAATGTTAATTTTTTATTTTTAGGGATGTGTCTTACCGATTATTCGCACAATCTTTATTGATTATATGATGACTTTCTTGGCTAAACTTGATTACAATATGATCAGTTAATCAAAGCATCATCTAAGTGGATCTTCTCCGTGTAACTAGTATGATCGATTCCATAATTATGTAAAATTGGTTCATTATTCAGTAGTTGACGTTTTTTGCTATCGATTTGATTGGAGTTTGTTTTTAGGTTTGATGAATATCCATTTATTTAACACTATTGGTTTAGTTACTGACGGTTCAATAATTATTTCATGCTAAAATACGTTTTTTATTGAAAATAAATGAATCTATGTACCAATGATTGTTGTTTTTAAATATTTTTGTAGACATTTAGATAATCATAAATTGTGGGATCCTTGTGATTTTCCTTTACTCATATTTCAATATCTTTTGGATTCACTCAAAGTAAGAAAAAAGTTAATTTAAGTGGTGTTTCTTTGATGACTGTATATTTCAAAGTTTATTTATATCGTAAATTGACACTGTATCCAGAGCTGTTGAAGCACAGTTAAATGGTGTTTCCAGCCTGGTTTTCGACGTGCAGCTAGTGTCTCAACAAACTTGATCAGAATTTAATACTAGCATTCCCCAACTCTAGCTGATTTGTGATAAAGTGCTATCCTTATTCAATTCCATCGGTGTAAATGATTCACTCTTGACCTAATTGGCTCCACAGGTCACGGCTTCACAAATCAGTGGTGTCGTGCTCGCTGCAAGATATAAGTATCCTTGTTCTGGTCCAGTGTAAGACCATGGATAAGGACTTTCAAGGAGTCTTCATCTATTCCAAAACGGATGCTTTGCCCTTGATTCATCTAGACTGTTTTCTAATTGTTGCATGCTGGTGATAAAGTATTTCCTAATTTCTGATGATTGTCGGCTTCTTTGAGTTTTGAAAAAGTTATTCAGGTTTTTATTTGATTTCAAGTTTACGCTGAATTAATTGTTATTATTTCTTTCATAACAGATCGATAAATATATGCATCTATGTATTTATGCAAGTTGAGTAAATATTGAAAATTACTTACGCATGCAGTATTCAAAATTAACAAATATTGAAAATAGGTTTTTGATATTATTTCTCATCTCTTTCACAGTGTTCATTCATCGCACTTTGAGATAATAAGGAGATGTATATGTTTTTTTCCAGTAGTAAAAAATATGTACATATTTAGTAATATTTTATTCCATCAAAGAACATTTTAAAATTAATAAAGTGTAATTCCATCCATAAATGGGTCATTAAACTGGTCATACTTGTTTGGATAGTGAACGTCAGGTTAAAGCCAGTGCTGATTTACACGTTCCCATTATAACTGAGAAAACTGATGCTGGTAATAGGGGAAGTGAATTTTTCACAATTCAAGCAAGAAGACAAAAAGTGATGAAAAATGGAAATCTTATTTACACTTCAGAAACACGACAATAGCTTTAATCAAATACGCATTTAGATATATATATATTAGTGGTACTTGATGCTCAGTCATTAAATACTATACTTATGTAAAGTGGTGAAGATAAAAAGTAAACTTTTCTCTGAATTAATACATAAAGTATACTTCATGTTATACTTTACGAACATCATACTGAATCAAAACATAATCTGTCATTTTATTTCATTTTAATAACGTTATATGTAGAGATTTTGTGTTTTTGTGTACTTATATCTAGTGACTTCGACCCATTAGGTTACAAATTTGAACTCTACTGCACCTTCTTGGGGGTTATTTGCAGCCCAACTAACTCAATGGTAGCGTTTCAGGCTGTAAACCTGAGAGAAATGGGTTCGAATCCTTGCAGGGAACATCAGTTCTCTGACGATTACAGGTATATCATGCTAACAAGTACCTATCATCAACACCTACTTGGGTTTGGATAGCCGGGTAGTGTTATTAACCTTAACTCAAACAGTTTCGCTTTCAAGCCGATTACTTAAACATGTACTTAGTAAATGATTTATTCTAAATGTCAAAAGTTTTGCCGTCCTTCAATTTTTCAGTAAATGGTCAACTGATATTGTCATGTGATCAAAACGGACTTGAGATTTGTATAGGTTGTTGTTGTCGTTGTCGTTTTTTCAGATTATTATTAGTAAGATATCATAATTTAATGCAAAACGTGAGTGATCTTCCTCAACATAAATTGTCTGTGGTACTTCATATGTTCTCAAATGACTATCGAAGGGTTATTGTACAATATAACTCTATATTGTGTCTACCAATTATGAGTAACTCAACGTTGTATGCACATTGTTTTGATGTCAGATGATTGGAAGCGATCGGCATGAAATCTTGGACCTAAGTTTTAAAATTTTATCGACTGTGATGGTGTTACACAATGTAAACCACTGTTTATTCAGTTATTTTCGTGTCAATTGAAATGGAGATGGTTAGACTTATAGATCAATCAAGATATAGCATCAATTCGTAAAATCTTTACCTACTGGTCTTAATTATGCGGAAAGCTGTAAGTTCTCGTGGATTATTCTGTTCAAACATCGGAAATCACTATTTGTGAATATTTCAACATGTTTAAGGCCCTAAGAATACGTCTCATTGACATGTCTGATATGCATCTACTTATATAGTCTTTTATCGTTTTATTTTCCATGTCTAAATATCTCACAGTGTTAACTCTTTATGTATACATTTTTTCAAAAAGAACTGTATCTTTCTATTCTAGTTGGGAAAAATTCCCATGGTAATTTTTGACCATTTGAGCAGAATTTCGTTACACTTAGGTTTATCTTGTCGAATCGTTATAATCATCACTAGAACTGGTTATTCATTTTACCAGCTAGGTTATTTTGCCAAACCAGTTATTATTATTATCGTCGCCATCATCATCAGATTTTTCTACCCTTTCTGTTTAAATTTGGTGTTTAAAATTTCACCAATGCTACTGTTACGATTAAATAGGATAACGTTATTATTATTATTATTATTATTATTATTATTATTATTATTATTATTATTATTATTACGTACATTCGATTATTACAGTAGATCAGTGTTAATTACGTAGTCAACTATGAGACACTGGTTAAATTTGTATCTGTGATCTTTAGCATTTTATGAGTGGAATTCTGTCAAGAAGCGAATTATTTGATGAAAGCGCTTTTAGACGTATGGTTCCGGGGACGAGCCCCTCCTCAACGTATACTGCGCTGTTGGATTATATATGTACTTATATATTGTGAAAAGGAATCGGAAAATAATATTACTAGGATTTTTTAAGTAAGTGTAACTTAATGTTGAGTGGACAAAAAGTACTTTCATTAAGGAGGGTCGCAAACTAGTCTTATTAGCGTGGGTGTCCAAACTGAAGTAGACGAAGTAGAGTTTGATCTCAAACACCGCTTCATAAAATAATCAGGTGTAGCTAAACTATAAGGCCAAGTCAATGATGGCTTTATAATTTGTAAGCCAATTTTCAGTCAATGTGAGCAGGGAGTGAAATATTCGAACGCGTCGACAGCCTCACTTACCATGGAAGTCTGATCAGCCCTAATGGGTTGGTGTCTGACGAAATCTCTGCACGGATTCAACTTACGTCACCTATGTCGAAGACGAGATATCCGTCCATCAATTTAGGGACGAGTATACTGCACAGCAGTTCGTTCTGCTTTACTTTATGGCTGCGAAATGTGGACATTAAGAATAGAGGATACTCGTAAGTTACTAGTAATTGACCACAGATGTCTTAGAAATATTGCTCGCGTCTGCTGGGATCAACGGGTAAGTAATAGTGAGGTTAGACGCAGGGTATTAGGGAATGATGGTAAATCAGTTGATGAGGTTGTAAATCTCCATCGACTGAGATGATTGGGCCACGTGTTACGCATGCCTGAACACCGGTTACCACGACGCGCAATGCTGACTAGTATTGGGATGGTTGGAAGAAAGTTAGGGACGGCCAAACCAAAACGTGGTATCAGTGCTTGAAGTCACTAACTTGTGGTGTGAGTCATGTTGGTAGATGCAGACTACGTGGTTGGGGTCCACGCGACTATTGCAACCAATGGTTGGAGACTCTGTGTGACATGTCTCAGAATCGATCACAATGACGTAGGTGTATACACTTTTTATCTTCCCTTAAACTGTGAGATTGAAATTGCTTTATACCTTTCTTTCTACGAACTAATTCTTTCTTCCTGTATTATATCGTTATACACAATCTTTCTTTTGTATATTACTACCATTGAAGTAACTACTTCTATGAATTTGGTGTTCATCTTGTTGTGCTAATGAGGTGTGGCAAGTTGGACCGATACATATATGTTCCTGGTCCTACGTTGTAGCTGAAAATGAGCACAGTGTCTATAAATCAAAAGTATCTCACTGCGGAAGTAATGACATGTAAAACTCTTGTTCTGCAATTTTTATTGGTTTTTCGAGGCTTATTATCAGTTTCCAATCTGGATATTAGAGAAATGTCGGTGCATAATCTCATTTATCTGAGTGATAATAGATTCACACGAAAGGTTTTTCACTGAATTTTCCTCATAACTATAACTATTTTTATCGGAAATTTATCATGATATACAAAAGTTTAATGGATGAATTCGTCGAAGATTTAGCGAGATGATGTTATATGACAACAGTATGAGAAAGTCATAAGTGTAAATCCTCACCCGTTTTAGCATTCTTACTTCATTGGCTCGTCTATTATTCAGTGAATTCATAAGATTATTTGTTTAACCCTAGTATAAACAAAATAAACTAACATGGAATCTCATCGATTTACGTGTTACGTACAACTCACTTAGAAGGAAGTGAACATTTGGTGCTTTCAACTCTCATTTTCATAACATGATGGTATGGTATTCCTAATTTGCTTTTCTGTGATTTGACATGAGATGATGTAATTTAGAATAAGTCAGCTTAGCGCTCGAAAAATGTTTTCCTTCATGGTTTTACATAATTTAGTATTTGTCACTAAGTACAGGTCTATGCTATGTACTCGGCTTTGATTTATTATATTTCTGTGTGGGTTAATGATACTGCTCGATTTTCTCAACTAAAATTGATCGAATGAGGTTTGATTGAACCTATTACCACATAGTTGAAAATCAAGTTTTTTTAGGTATCAGAATATCGCTGTAAACGCTTTTGTATGTGCTTGTAATTGATTATCTTTCATATAGAAAATTTTTGCTTTATCAGTCATATTTGCTTTCTATCAGAATAGTTTTCAGAATCGATACCTTTCTTACATTTATTTTGACTCCATTCCAATCAATATCAAGAAATTTATAGAATATGTTCATTTTATAATCGGATGATACCTTATTTTTCATTTCTCTTCCATCATTTGTCTTTTTTCTTGTTTGTTATCATCTCATGAATTCTCAGATGTCTACTATATATATATATATATATATATATATATATATATATATATATATATATATATTTGTGTGCATATGCATTTGTATTGGTATATGTGTTCTTCTATTCAACTAATTATAACAATAATTGAGGTCATTCACATATTCAAGTGGTTTTATGATGATTTTTAACAGTTTTTTTGTCGTATTAACATCAGTTGACGAACAATTGAGAATAAGGTTGATATTGCGTTACGTTCCCGTTAAAAAAATCAGTAATAGTGGTTCAGATACACCTTGTCATTATCCTACCCTTTCATACTGATTAGCCAATGTAACTCATTTTCCAAGTGTAGGTTAATGGTTTAGTCTTTCAGCTACATCATGTGAGAAAAGGCTAGTATTACCACCTGGTCTCTTAAATCGCATTAAGTAGGAAGGGTTCAAAGGCCTCTGGATTTATTGTGTTTGTTTTACTTAATAAATTAGTTCATCATCACTTAAATAAATTATAGTAATTAAAGTAAGTGGTAATAGTGTGTGCCTTGTGTATCGATTGATTTCTGTATAATTCAATGTTTATTTTTCAAGTTGAACTATTCAAAGGTATTCATGTGAAATATAAAATTGGTTTACACTATCTATTCGTCAAAGTATTGCTGATAATTCCAAAAAATTAAAAAAAGGTTCACTAAACATGAGCCTCAAGCTTCCAATAATCATTACTGAATGATAAGTTGTGAAACCCGTTCATTTTTTCTATAATTTTACCATTGCATAATATTAAAGTAGACATTTTCAGTATAACCACACTATTATTATTATTATTCAGTTTTAAATAAACAAGAATTGTTTCAAGCATGCTTGTGTGTGTATAGTGATGACTAAAGTAAATTTAAAGATGAATTTACTACAAAGATTACCGATAAAGTTAATTTTTACTGGAAGGAAAAATATTAATTACCTAAATATGTTAGCTGACATGCATTTACTGATCGCTCACTAACGTCATACGAACAGAAAAAGCTGTTTTGTCATGGTTTCGTATTCTTCAATACTCAGCAGATGTCAGTATCCGTCGCGGTACATGAAGATAATAAGCTCGATCTTACGCTGGGTTGTAGGTGCGGATAGCTAATGAGTTACAAAATAGGGGGAACAGACTGTCACGTTCTTCTTAGTTCTCAACGATTTTCCTTACTGTGATCTATTTACTCAAGAGTATCAAATCAGTTAATGATTACTTTCACATATTCCCATAAATAATAGTGTAATTTATTTATCAGGCACAAGTTAATATACTCGATTATGAGACGCACTGTTTGAGAGCTATTGATATAATATCTGTTTATCCAGACTGAAGTAGATGAAGTGAACGTATGATTTGCTGGCTGAAAGATAGGTTTCAACAAACAAGTTACCCTTCTAAAACAATGCAGTTTAGCGGTAGAAAAAACAACGGATTGCAATGAGTGAAACATGTGTAATGAGAGAGCAAAGTTATATTTCTTCCTTTTCTGTTATATAAAATTTTTCTCCGTGTATGTTTAATCGATGTAAATGTGATTTTTACTGAAACTTGTCTATACACTGTGAGTTATTTAACGAGTCTATATGAAGAAAGAAGGGTCGATTAGCATTTATTTTATTTCTAAAAGTTGACCAAATGAACAATGCGTTTAGTGAAAATTTATCAAGTTTTAGAAGATAATAATCTCTTTCACCCATCACTTTTCTCTGAAATACATCAGATAAATTCACTTGGTGTTGTTTACCTGTATCTTCCCACTATCCATCTTTGCTTATAAAGCTTGTAACTTCAGGTAATGTCGAGGCAGTCCGCACAGGATGCACATATGCCAAGAAGATACTGATCAGTTGCAGTTTTAAATAGCAATGGGAAGATACAAGCAAACAACAGCATATGAATGTAACTTCACCCCATTACAAAAGCAGGTGGCTATCAGGACTCAGTAGCTAAGTGGATAACGCGATGGTGCTTGAAGCGAACGGCACTGGCTTCGAGTCCCAAAGTGAACATCAACTCTGAGGTGCAGGTACGTCCAGCTAACGAGTACCAAATAGGACGAAACGCGCATCCAGGATTCCACTGCTAGCCACTATCCATCTTTGCTTATACATCATATAAAATTGGAAATTAAACTATGAAATGATAAATTGAATTACCTACTCTCTATGATACAATTTGATTTTATTTCTAACGTGCTTATTGTTCACGTGATGGTCGATTGCATAAAATGAGAACTTAGTAATAATAACATAAAGTTTCACTGACATCAAACTGATACATTAGATTTTATCCCGTTTACAGTCAACCAATTAGCTAATACACTACAATTATGCATGTCTGTTTTCATTCGAATTCGGGGTTATTAGGATTAAGGTTAACTAATAATTTCAATAGTTGGGATCATGAGTCAATTGAAGCTAGACCACCATGGAAAACGTGGAAGCACTGGGCGGCCGTTTCATCCAAGGATGGGACTCATCAGTTCTCATCCACAATCCCATACACTTTCAGGTTCCAAATGGTGGTTCAACTATTGAAGTTACTATAATACCCACAAAACCCCTTCTGATGTTAACTAATAAAATAGAAATATCTTTCCAGCCAATCAAAATCAATTTAATTCTTTTCATGTCTACATCACATTGTATCTCTTATGCTACTGAAACAGTTGTTCATTAGTTTAATACACGGTTAGTCGTGTTTACTGTTTAAGTGTAAATAATAGAAATATACTGAAATTTAAATAATTTCAATAATCTATCAAGCTATTCCCAGTCGATGACTCAACCACACACTAAACAATTTTGACATTCTACTTTAATATTAATCTGATCGTACGTTATATGATTGAAGATCAACTATTCGACTGTTTTTTTCTTGTCCTCATATTACTACCATCCTACAATTTTTTTCACCGGTTGTCATCGTGGTGAAGGTTGTTATGATGATCGTAGTTATTCACTTAGATATTCTTTCTACTTGTTGTCGTTGGCTTCCTTTTTAAAAAAGTGTAAAATGTAAATAATTGAGTGAATTTTTGTTTACAGGCTTCTACAGTACTATATCTTTTTCAATTTGGCATATTACATGTATGTACTTCTTTCATCATTTGATTTATTACTATCAGCATAGGATCGTTCAGATTATGAACTGGTCAATGTTAGGCCATCATTGAAAACCTGGTAGCACTGGATGGCCGTTTCATCCAAGTATGGGACTCCTCATCAGTGCTCATCCCATACACTTGCAGGTTTCAAATGATGGTCTAACATCGATTGGTTCATGATTTATTACTATTAATCGTCATACCGACTTATTCATTATTTTTCTGCAAACTCAGCGAAATATTGATATTGAAGATTAGTCTTATCGACATATTTTCATCAGGCTCGTAAGGGATCACTAACTTTAAAGCGAATACTATCGTCTTAAAAATAACAGGATAAGGACTTAGTAAGTTTACTAAAAAAATGCAATTGTTAATTTTGGAACGGCTATTATGCAATATTCACGTGAGTACTTTTATACTTCAGTCTTGTAAATGCGTGAATAGGTTAACTAGCACTCACTTTATTCTATTATTCCTTACTGAATCCTTATCACTCTAAACATTATAATAAAACCTTCTCTCAAACACTTGGTTTGGTTTGTTATCACATTACTGTTTCTCTGACCTCATGTTATCAACATTTATTCTGTTAACTTCACAAGTTCAATTGATCCATAAACTTATTTAGGTTAGCATAATAATAGACACTTCAACACTAAGGATTACACTTTATCTTATCAACAATCCTATATTCGTTTGCTGTAATTCTCACAAGTATATGGTTGCCTTAAACTTGGCGATCCTTTATATTTATAGATCTAGAACCTGATGAAAATTTATATTTCACTGTTTTCATAAAATGGGAATTTTTGGACAAACCATAAAAAGTAATTGTTTAATTTTTCTAAGTCATTTTCTCTTCTCTTATTTTTTGAGTGATACCGATAAGTCCAATAGTGGAAGTTATTTTCAGATTGCTTTAATGTTTTCAAACGAAATTAATACAAATTTTCCATTCGCATTTACTTGTTTGTGAGCTTTTGAATCTGTTTTCTATTTTTATTCAGACAACTCAGGTGGCGCATAGTCTAGTCAAACAATTAGTTGCTCATCTCAGCCTGCATGAATCCGATTTCACATTGTCTGAACGTACAAGTTTAGTTCAGGTAAGACACTAAGATACATAGACGATTAACGCAATTTTGATTTATTATTATGATTATTTCTCTCTTTCTCTCCCTCATATATATATATATATATATATATATATATATATATATGCAGTGACGAATTCTATTCAATTCATTGCGCAACAACGATCCTAATGGTCGCGATTGAGTACACAACCGATCCTCATGACATCTAGCCTGGCATCCACTGAATTTTTCATTCGGTTCAACAAAACTCTGTTGAAAACTTTTCCCGATACACATAGTAGGTTGATGCCTCTGCAGTTTTCATATACGCTCAGATCTCCTTTCTTCGGTATTTTGATAAGGTATCCTTTTTTCCAACCTGTCGGTACTTATTGTTCCTCCCAAATCCTCCGAAATAGAACGTGGAACATTTTCGCAGTTACTATTTAAAGAAAAAGAATAATAAAAGGACAATAAATAATGAGAAACTGAGATCCGAAACAACAATGTCATAATCAAAACGGACACTGACACAAATGTGCGTTAACCCTTACCGCAATAATGCGATAAAAAATGGTATGACATTAAAGCAGAAAAAAGAGTAGTCCGATTTAGGTAATAGCATCAATAGTAATAACTTTTAAAAGACATAATTCATATCTTATTTGGTACCAAAATCAAATAACTAAAAAATAACCCTCAAACATTTCATTAAGCTTAAAAGAACAACTTTAATTAATATCTCATGCATGAGGCATGTTTCCCAAATACCTAAAATTGTTTAATCTAATATATAAATGAGAATCTAAATATCATCAAACACAAGAAAAGCCATTACCGTAGAGAAATGAAAAACTTGTTATATATACCACGATAAGAATGTCAACTATTCTGAAAAGCATTTCATATTAGTTTCTGGTCAATATCTGAAGACGTTAGTGAAAATCAAGGGCAAAAATTGATTCACAAGAGCAGTGTTCAACTCTTTAGACTTATTAGGAGAATACTATTCATCTTTATACCGAAAATTTGAGTTCAGGTAAAACACTAAGATTCAATAGAGCTGATCTATTCAAGAGTTCCTCAAGGTGTTCTACCCACCTGTTCTTCTGTCCTTGAATCTCATTGACTGGTTTGCCTCCTTTGTCTTTGACCGGTCTCTCTGACTTATCACATTTCGCTAGCAGTTTCTTTGTTGTTTCATATTTCCTTCTCTTGAAGATTTTTCCACCGTCATTGCTAGGTCTTGCACGCATTTCTGCTTATTGGCGTGTGCGTTAGCTTCCTCTGATCTTGTTCGACTGTGGTTGAGCACTGTGTTCTTGTTCTTCCTTTCTCCAATCTTGTCCAGGGTCTCGATAGAGACCCATTCCTTCTGAAGATGCTTCTTGAGTCCCAGAACATCCTGACACGTTGAAGGTAGCGCTTCTTTGGTCCCTCTCCAGTTGTCCTCCATTGTAAATTCTTCTTTCAGTAGATCCTGTAGGGTTTGGGACCTGTTGTTGAGTGTTATCTTGAATTCGTTGAGTTCGTCAGTTTGTGGAAGGAAGGCCGTATTGAAACTTCGTAATCCTATTCCCCTAGTTGTCCAGTGCTTCTTGGTAGATGGTGATCTGAAACTACTTCAGCTCCTCTCCTGGTTCTCACGTCTTCCATTGACCTTGTGAATTTTTTAGTGATGCAAATATAATCGATTTGGTCCTTTGTGGTGTGATCCAGTGAGGTTCACTTAGCTTTGTGTATACGTTTTTGGGAGAATATTGTGCAGCCTATAACCATTTCGTTGAAGGCACATAGATTTGCAAATCTGTCACTATTATCGCTCATTTCTCTCAGTCCATGTCGTGACCAGAGTACGGCAGCATCTCTCCCGAATCTATCCTTTTCTGTCCAGCTTGGGTCTAATGTGTTTCACTGATTCCGAGCACCACCAAGTTGTATCTCCTCATTTTCGTAGCTATTTGATCAGTCCTCCCAGTCTCCTACGGTGACTCGACATTCCATGTACCTAACTTAATTGTTGCTCTGGTTGTCAGAGGAGGCGTAGATCTCGTGAACACTGTTACTCCTACACTTTTTTATATTCACTAGCAATATAATTCGAAAATCGTGCTTGTACATAACGAAAATCTTCAAAACAGACATTTTCAATTATATATTCTGTAAATGTCTAGTTGTTGGATTTAGGATACACATTTTGTCCTGTTTGGTACTCGTTTGTTGGATATATTGGATTCGAGTCTCAGTTTAACCTGTAATGCTAGAATTCAGGTCTATCCGTCTGGTGAGCTGCGAATAGGACGAAACGCATGTCCTGGATAATCACATACCATATGAACTGAAACCTGTAATTTTATTCAGTTTGTTTTCTTTACGAGTTCTTATAAAGCCAAAGCGAACATTGAGTAATATGAATTCATTTTAATTCATGGTTTTTCATCAGCTGCCTACAACGATATGTACTGAGGTATATATATATATATATATATATATCTGTGTAGGAACTGGTGATAGGTTTTTTGGAGGTGTAGTCCAAAAACATAGGAGGACGGGTTAGGTATTATTTAAATGAAGTTTGGAAAAAGATGGGATGTATTGTATGATAATTATAGAAGTTGAGGAGAATTTATGTATGATTCAAATCGTTTGAAAATAGATATAGAAGATTTAGAGCACTGAGGTGGTAATTTTCTAGACTTAGAAAGCGATGAGATAGGCCACGTATTAATTAACCAGGATTTGAGGGGTTTACATAAGTTAATAGAATTAAGGCAATCCAATGTTGTTGTACGTATAGCAGTAGTGATTGATCAATTGGAGTCGTGAATGTTAAAAGGAAATAGCGAATCCTTACTAAATTTCGTTGTTTTACCTTGTGTTATATGCATATCCATGAAATGATCAATAATGTTTTTCGGGAAAATCATGTAACTCAGAAAACTCAACATCAACAAAAGTATGCATCTAAGCTGACCATCTCCATCATATATATTTGTTCGTTATTAATTGGTAAAACTTTTGCATTTCTTCTGTTCATCATACTTGGATTAAGACATTGCTAGTTTGAGTTGTAAACTAAACAGAAATTTGACTGAGTTTTTTTCTTGTATGAACTACGTTCACTCCAATAAATCAATTTGATTCAATGTTAGTAGATATCTATCCATTTATTTATCTATAGTTTGTTAGTTGGAATTTTTCTCTTCTCTACAAACTCGTTGATTTATCAAACTCACCTTTCTGTAATAAATGAGTTATTATCTGTTTCTCTTTTAAAATTCAAAATATACAGGTCATCGGACTAGTTGTAATTAGTTTAGCAAAGGGAGCAATCGGACCAGATGTATTTCATAATTTTAAATCATTACTTCAAGTGAGTCAGTCCTTTTTTCTTCTGTGTATTTTTGTTTGTAATATTTTAGATAAATGTATTGTCTATGACTGTTTGGAAGTTAATAATAAACTGATTAGATACCTTGTTCTTGTTAGTGAGAAATACATTTCTCACGAAAAAAAGACATATTCACTAGGAATAGAAAATTGTGATACACACTAAACTTAAAAAAGAAAAATGCATTGATGTAAGCGATTTAACCGTATATATATATATATATATATATATATATATATATATATATATATATATATATGTCTGTTAAATACATTAGTGGCTATTTACACTCAATAGCTTAATGGATAACGCTTTGGCCATTTGCAGAGAAAGACACTAGGTTTGATTGTCAACGCAAAAAGAACACTAAAATACGGGTGCATCTGGATGATAAGTACTAAATAGGACGAAACCTTCATCCTGGTTCCCATTTTCTTTCATAGTCGATTTATTCTGTAAAAGTATACAATTCGAAAAGCAATAGGACCACATTAAATTAAAATATTTATAACTGTTTTAGTGTTGCAGCGTCGATTGTGTTGTGTCTATAAGCATTATTCCACAGTTTACTAGGGAGTTTTTGCTTCTTAATTTGTTCGAACTTATGTATAAAAAGTGGTTAAACGGTTTTTGCTTTTTTTTTAGAATTTTAAGTTCATATAGTATCGTCCGAATAATCACTGTTCTATCTTTACATAAAAGTAATTATCATATATTTTTCCTATTATTCGCCCGTACTTCTTATCATTTATTTGTCGTCTACAAATACAACAAGAGATTCTGTTAGTCAGGAATTCATTCAAAAGGTTTTCGTTTGACAGTTAGGTACAGAATGTCTATGTCAAATTTGTGATTTTGTTGTAATTTGGACTAAATTCCATGTAATTCAGTTCTAATCTGCCTGAGATCAATAAAACTCAGTGAAATTATTATAATAATGTTTCTTGTTTACCCCCTATATAGGCTGATGTACTCGACTTTAAGTCATAATTCAGCTGTATAAAAACTATAGAACCTATTCAGATACCCAAACCCAATTTGGTGCATTTGATTTTAAAGTGGTGGTCAGACAACGAAAAGATAACTTTGTTGACCGCTAAGCGCCATCTTTCCACACGTGATCAAATGTACCAAGCTGTACCAAACAGAGACATCGTCTAACATGGCGACCCCTTACACCAAACCAACGATGGACTGAAATAGACCAGATTACCATCAGTCATCTTTGTAGAGGCTCAATAGAAGACTGCCGCTCGTTCTAGAATGCCTTTCTGGACTCTGATCATGCTCTAATACGAGCATGCATTTGCTTTCGCCTCATTCGATACGGAAAAGCATATTAAGAAGACCCATTAAAATTGAACTCATTTACGAGAAAGCCAAACGTAGATTCCAGGAATAACTGAAGTCTTACTTAGGTAGTTCTGAAAATGGGGTTGACCCAAATGTAAGGTAATAACGTACTCCTGTTACCTCCAATGGAGCATAGGCCACCGACCAGGATTCTCCAACCCACTCTGTCCTGGGCCTTCCTTTCTAGTTCTGTCCAATTTTTGTTCATTCTTCTCATGTCTGTCTCCATTTATCGGCGTAATGTGTTCTTTGGTCTTCCTCTTCTTCTTTGGCCTTCAGGATTCCATGTGACGGCGTCGGTTGACAAACAGTTGTTTTGAGTTCCAGATGTTCTTCAATTGTAGATATGCTGCTCTTGCTTTGCCGATCCTTACCTTCACATCTCTATCAGATCTACCGCGTTCATCAATGATGCTGTCCAGATATGTGAAGATTTTCACATCCTCCAAAACTTCTCCGTCAAGTGTAATTTGATTGGTGCATATTGTATTGTATCGGAGAATCTTGCTTTTCCCTTTGTGTATATTGAGACCTACTGCTGCTGAGGCTGCTGCTACACTGGTTGTCTTCTCCTGCATTTGCTGTTGCGAGTGTGATAGAAAAGCCAGATCATCTGCGAAGTCTATGTCGTCCAGCTGCATCCTAAATGTCCACTGTATCCCGTGCTTCACTCTAGATGTTGACGTCTTCATGATCCAGTTGATGACCAGGAGAAAGAGAAACGGTGAGAGTAAGCAACCTTGCCTGACACCGGCCTTTACCTCAAATGAGTTGGTGAGTTGTCCTCCATGCACGATTTTGCAGTTTAATCCATCATAGGAATTCCGTATGATATTGACTATCTTCTCAGGTAGGTATGCCGTAGTGACGAAGAAGTCTCCATAGTGTTGTCCTGTCCACGCTATCAAATGCCTTTTCGTAGTCGATGAAGTTGATGTAGAGTGATGAATTCCATTCAATTGACTGTTCCACAATTATCCGTGGAGTTGCTATCTTGAATTTGTTGAGTTTGTCAGTATCCCAAACAAAAGCTGTATTAAACTTTTGTTATGTTGTCCGCCCTGTTGTTCAGTGCTTCTTAAGTTTTAATTTCATCTCGGCGAACAGCAAGTGATGATCTGATGCTATATCAGCTCCTCTCCTGGTCCTCACATCCTCCACCGTCCTCTTGAAGTTATTGTTGATGCAGATATGGTCGATTCGGTTCTGCGTAGTGTGGTCCGGTGAAGTCCATGTGGTTTTGTGTATGCGTTTGTGTGGGAATATAGTTTCTATTATGACCAGCTTATTGAAGCACATAGGTTTGCAAATCTCTCAGCATTTTCGTTCCTTTCTCCCAGTCCATGTCGTCCCATGATGTCTTCGTATCCAGTGTTGTCCATTCCAACCTTGGTATTTAAATCACCCATCAGAATGGCCAGGTCCTTTGTTGGGCACTTTTCGACGATCGACTGCAGCCTATCGTAGAATTGGTCTTTAACATCTTCATCATGGTCGTTGGTGAGCGCATAGCTTTGGATGACGTTCATTGTATTGCCCTCTTTCTTTGTTTTGAAGAAGGCTTTGATGATCGTTGGTCCATGGGATTCCCACCCTATAAGTGCATTTCGTGCTTGTTTGGACAGCATCAGTGCAACTCCTTGTGTATGTGGATCATTTTCTTCTTCATGGCCGGAGTATAGCAACAGATACCCTGAAACTAGTCGTTGTTGTCCAACCTGCATCAAATATGTTTCACTGATTTCAAGCACCTCCAGGTTGAATTTCCTCATTTCTGCAGCAATTTGGAAGACTCTTATTTACTCCCACATTGTCTGGACGTTCCATATACTTATAAAAAGTTTTGCTCTGGTTGTTAGAAGGGGCATCGGCCTAGTGACTTCCGAAGAATCTCGGCTTTCATCATTGAGTGTCACAATTCCTCCTTTAACTCCCAATGCAGAGTTTAAATGGCTTGAATAATATTTTCTGGTTAGCGTTTTTAGCGAGTTGGTTTTCTACGGGATGGGGTCACTAACACCATGTCCAAACCTCCTCCTTTACACGGGCCTTGGAACAACAGTAGCCCCCGGAACAGGATAGGGGCGGAGTTAATCTGTGCGGACTGCCTCCATATTGCTTGAAGTCATCCTTGCCTATAAGTCAGATCTAGGTTAATCAAAAGTCTCCGGAACTATCGTGAGCAGTGATGGGCATCGAAAGCAAAAGGGATGGAAATGCAATGGTTGTAACGCAATTCACCTTTTCAGACTCATAAAAGAAACTGGATTTAAGAAGTCAAATGTAAGTGAGACGATCTCAGGAAAAGACGACAATTTCATCTGCTCTCAGCCCAGATATTTAGAACATTGAGCGGAACACTTTAAGGTGCAGTCCAACTGGCCTTCAGCTACTCTACAACTACTCACCATTCCAAAACTACCTTAAAGGAACATTGTTGTAGGCCCCCCGACTCTAGTTGAAGTTCAAAATGCTATAGCTAATCTGAAACGAGGAAGAGTAGATGGATCGACTTCACAGGTCTGTAAGTGTGATAAGGTCGACTACTTTACGGCTTCGAAACTTGGACATTAAGAATAGAGGATACTCGTAAGTTACTAGTAATTGACCACAGATGTCTTAGAAATATTGCTCGCGTCTGCTGGGATCAACGGGTAAGTAATAGTGAGGTTAGACGCAGGGTATTAGGGAATGATGGTAAATCAGTTGATGAGGTTGTAAATCTCCATCGACTGAGATGATTGGGCCACGTGTTACGCATGCCTGAACACCGGTTACCACGACGCGCAATGCTGACTAGTATTGGGATGGTTGGAAGAAAGTTAGGGACGGCCAAACCAAAACGTGGTATCAGTGCTTGAAGTCACTAACTTGTGGTGTGAGTCATGTTGGTAGATGCAGACTACGTGGTTGGGGTCCACGCGACTATTGCAACCAATGGTTGGAGACTCTGTGTGACATGTCTCAGAATCGATCACAATGACGTAGGTGTATACACTTTTTATCTTCCCTTAAACTGTGAGATTGAAATTGCTTTATACCTTTCTTTCTACGAACTAATTCTTTCTTCCTGTATTATATCGTTATACACAATCTTTCTTTTGTATATTACTACCATTGAAGTAACTACTTCTATGAATTTGGTGTTCATCTTGTTGTGCTAATGAGGTGTGGCAAGTTGGACCGATTCTGTTATATCTTGTGGCCGAGTGGATACCTAGTTAATGTATGACGCGATAAGACCGCCAATTAGAAAGCAACGAATTATCGGTTGAAACAGTGACACACGAAACCGTACGAGCAGACTAGAGTGCTAACCGGTCCTGCGATCTGCCTAGCCCAGCCAATTAAGTCCAAAACACCAATAACAGCCCCAGTGGTATGAATCATTATTCACAAACATACTGGGTTTTTATATACCAACCAAACAGACCACATCGACCCATAAAATAGAAAATAATATTTGTACAATATTTAGCCGGATGTGGCTGTGAATAGTAGTCAATAAACTGATGATAACTCAAGAATCGTATAATAATAGTTCATAGGTCAAAGTAAAGTTAATGATAAGAGGAACACAAATATGATTAGGTTAGTTACGATAGGAAATATACATATTACATTGGTCCACAAACAGTCCTCAAAAGTCACCATTCACAATTCTCTTTGGGATACAACATATATGTTCCTGGTCCTACATTGCAGCTGACTGACTGTACTAAACATTGGTGACTCTCATTGATTACACCACTTAATACAACAATATCACTTATTATATGCCAACTTTGGAAGTAGTTCATCTTTTTTATCAATATTTATCTACAAAATAGTGATTAGTGAGAATAAGTGAAAACGAAAACAACAGATTGGTGATAATCATTTTAAATCGGTCAATAAATCCAATTCACTTCAATGAAAAGAGATAATGAATGGATAAAAAGGAAACAAATAGAAATGATTACTATACTATTATCTGCTTTGAAGTTTGTTAAATTTTTGGACGCAAAGGAGATCACATTCTACGGGAGTAGAATGCTGTAGTCAATTCAATCGTTTTCATTATGATGAACTAACATCATCTCATGATGATTAATTAATGATAAAGTAGCACTGAATAACTATCTCATCCATACTCTGGGGTTCCAATATATATATATATATATATATATATATATCTTTGTTTGGTTAAGAGGAAAATAATCGATATAGATAGGTTTGGGCATGCTACTGTTACAATTATATCTTTCTGAAAGTTGCATTATGTGAAAATCGTGAATTTATTCCTCAATTACTCAAGTATTCAGGTGTCGCCTTTACAGTTTTAGTCATTATTACATTATCTCTCTTAGTTTAGGTAGATTGGGACATCTGAACTGTATATATGATAATGGTTAGAATATATACTTATCAAAATATTGCTTGAGAGTTTTAGTAAAAGTAGCATTACTTTATATGGTTTGGGCTTATTATTTGTGTCATGATTTTGAACCGTGCCAGTGGTACATATTTACGTTATTGAATCGAGCTACTTATTAGTAGTTAACATTTATACTAAATACTTTTGTGATAGAAAATAATTTCATGTTAAGTTTCAAACGAATACTGATGTCAACTATTGGTAAACCATTGAAGGTCAACAGACACCAGAAAGTTGTAGTGGCTAGAGGTTTATCAGCATTGTGGCGTTGACGTTACAAACATATCAAATAAGGGCTTATGTCGTCGTTTTGTGCACGATGTTATTGAAACATTAAGTCCAATTTACTGTAAACCCACACCCCTTATCTCATTGCTTTTTTATTTCTGTTAATAAATGTAAAATTTAACTGGTTAGTGATGTCATAATTATATTAGAATATAATTTGAGTATGTTCGACCCGTTTCATCAGTGATATTTGATATGGAGATATACATAATTTTGAATGATTATTTAATCAAGGTTTACTAAGATAAGAAAATATTACAGGAAAGATCAGCACCACTTGTAGCAACGTTTATTTTAAGCATTGTTTTAATATGTAGGGGACTCAACACTTATTTGTGGTCACACTTTCAAACTTCCTTCAACCTTTTTTAATACAAGCAGGAAAGTAGTCTGATGAGGCCTGATGCAAAAATACCTGACTTATATCTATGCACACAGATTTGTTGCGGAATTAAGTAAATTTACAGCTCTTTGATTTATTAATAATGACCACTTTATGTTAGGATTCATGACTTCACCAGTTTCTTATAATGTCTATTTCACAAGTCTTTGAATACCTATTGTGAAAATTTTAAGGGTTGTGTCTACATTACTTCACTGAAGTATCTCTAAATATATCTATTACGGACTTGTCTTATTTTTTCAATTGCTTTTATTCCACTGTACACCGAAACTTTTAGATCTTAAAAGCCAGTATTGATAAAACTTCACAAATATCTGATCCTGATCAACCTTCATTTAATGATTCTAATCGAAAATTATCCGGTGAACGTCAGTTTCAAGAAGCAATTATCAATACTATAGCCGAATTTGCTAAAAATCTTCCAGACACGCAAAAAATCGAAATATTGAAATTTATATTGAATTTTGAGCCAATGGTTAAGTAAGTATATGAACAGTCCCAATATTTAATCTAAATCTTTTCTATTTCTGTTATTTTTCATTTTAAAAAGAAATAATAAACTGGGTTTATGTGTCTGTATTATAAGATGTAATCACACTGTACTGTACTTTATCACTGTTATTAAACGCTGAATAGCTAATGCAGTAAATTCGGAACATATATATATATATATATATATATATATATATATCGTTTGAATTTATCACACCATTTTAACACAACGAAATGAAATTCTCAAGAAAAACACCATATTAGTAGAAGTAGTATTAGTATCAGAGATAGTAAAAAGATTGGGGATCAACAATACAATTCGAAGAGAAAAATGGACTCGTCGAAAAAAAGTATAAGATGATTTTGAAGCTCAAAATCTGAAGGAGAATAAAGAGTGAAACATGCCATCCCCCCTCTCACATCACAATCATCAGGACCTCTAGTAGACAATATTCATCTATCAACACTGCTCAATTCAGTAGTCGATGAGTTCGACTGGTGCCAGATATTGCTCTGGAGATCTCTAGCTATCTTCCGACCTATTATTATGAGTGTCAGGGTTTCAGGTCGAAGTGCGCGGTGGTTGAGTATATATATATATATATATATATATATCCTTAGGTATGGTTTCGGTTCGAAATATTAAACAGTCTAAATAGTAATCATATTGAATATTGTATTGTACTGTATATACTGAAAAGTGAACTAACAAAAAACACCAAATCATTCGGTTTGTTATGTAATTCAATCCATTTTTGTTTCTTTTTTTGTGATAAATAATTATTGTCTTATTGTAAACTATATCGATCACAAAGCTATTTGTAAGCTAGAATGGAACTTGTAAACAAAGAGAATGATTCCAAGTCATAATAGGTCATTCTTTGTGGTGAATTTTGCTTTAGTTACATAATTTCAAATGAACTGTATTTTTGGTATTTTTTGTGTGTGTTTGGATTGTAATGTTACGTGGTTATTTTTGGTGATTTTGTATGGGTCAAAATTATATTTTATCATCGGCTATGAATTCAGTTGGATAGCTATCGGAAAATAAAGAGTATTATTTAGTTCTGCTGTAGTTGAGATCTTTTCATCAATGTAAACAACACATGAACTTGTACAGGATAGTTCATAAATGTTCATGTGAACACGATGCCATTGATCTAATGAATAGATATCCAGTGTATCCTAAATCCAACAACTAGACATTTACAGAATATATAATTGAAAATGTCTGTTTTGAAGATTTTCGTTATGTACAAGCACGATTTTCGAATTATATTGCTAGTGAATATAAAAAAGTGTAGGAGTAACAGTGTTCACGAGATCTACGCCTCCTCTGACAACCAGAGCAACAATTAAGTTAGGTACATGGAATGTCGAGTCACCGTAGGAGACTGGGAGGACTGATCAAATAGCTACGAAAATGAGGAGATACAACTTGGTGGTGCTCGGAATCAGTGAAACACATTAGACCCAAGCTGGACAGAAAAGGATAGATTCGGGAGAGATGCTGCCGTACTCTGGTCACGACATGGACTGAGAGAAATGAGCGATAATAGTGACAGATTTGCAAATCTATGTGCCTTCAACGAAATGGTTATAGGCTGCACAATATTCTCCCAAAAACGTATACACAAAGCTAAGTGAACCTCACTGGATCACACCACAAAGGACCAAATCGATTATATTTGCATCACTAAAAAATTCACAAGGTCAATGGAAGACGTGAGAACCAGGAGAGGAGCTGAAGTAGTTTCAGATCACCATCTACCAAGAAGCACTGGACAACTAGGGGAATAGGATTACGAAGTTTCAATACGGCCTTCCTTCCACAAACTGACGAACTCAACGAATTCAAGATAACACTCAACAACAGGTCCCAAACCCTACAGGATCTACTGAAAGAAGAATTTACAATGGAGGACAACTGGAGAGGGACCAAAGAAGCGCTACCTTCAACGTGTCAGGATGTTCTGGGACTCAAGAAGCATCTTCAGAAGGAATGGGTCTCTATCGAGACCCTGGACAAGATTGGAGAAAGGAAGAACAAGAACACAGTGCTCAACCACAGTCGAACAAGATCAGAGGAAGCTAACGCACACGCCAATAAGCAGAAATGCGTGCAAGACCTAGCAATGACGGTGGAAAAATCTTCAAGAGAAGGAAATATGAAACAACAAAGAAACTGCTAGCGAAATGTGATAAGTCAGAGAGACCGGTCAAAGACAAAGGAGGCAAACCAGTCAATGAGATTCAAGGACAGAAGAACAGGTGGGTAGAACACCTTGAGGAACTCTTGAATAGATCAGCTCTATTGAATCTTAGTGTTTTACCTGAACTCAAATTTTCGGTATAAAGATGAATAGTATTCTCCTAATAAGTCTAAAGAGTTGAACACTGCTCTTGTGAATCAATTTTTGCCCTTGATTTTCACTAACGTCTTCAGATATTGACCAGAAACTAATATGAAATGCTTTTCAGAATAGTTGACATTCTTATCGTGGTATATATAACAAGTTTTTCATTTCTCTACGGTAATGGCTTTTCTTGTGTTTGATGATATTTAGATTCTCATTTATATATTAGATTAAACAATTTTAGGTATTTGGGAAACATGCCTCATGCATGAGATATTAATTAAAGTTGTTCTTTTAAGCTTAATGAAATGTTTGAGGGTTATTTTTTAGTTATTTGATTTTGGTACCAAATAAGATATGAATTATGTCTTTTAAAAGTTATTACTATTGATGCTATTACCTAAATCGGACTACTCTTTTTTCTGCTTTAATGTCATACCATTTTTTATCGCATTATTGCGGTAAGGGTTAACGCACATTTGTGTCAGTGTCCGTTTTGATTATGACATTGTTGTTTCGGATCTCAGTTTCTCATTATTTATTGTCCTTTTATTATTCTTTTTCTTTAAATAGTTATCACCCAGAGTATGGTGATCGTCCGAAACCGTTAATTATGGTCCTTTTACAAACTATGCTAACTGTCGCCACACAATATAAAACAGTAGCCATATCGAACGCATTGAATTCGGACTTTCTAAATCTTTTATTACGTGGTGTCGCTATTGATCCAGATCCTGTCATACGAATAATTGTACAGAAAATACTACATACTTTAATTGATCGACATGGGAATACAGAACAGTTGTTGACTGTTCGGTGAGTCGAATGTTATCAAAAGTACCATTATTTTTAATCTTGTTGTTATCATAGTTTACGTGCTTAATGGTTGTGGTACTCCATACCAGATTGATACACACTAAAAGAGTTAAACATAACATACTATCGGTTAGGAAACTATTTGAAATAGGAAATAAACAAATACGGGATAGTTGAAATCACGAGTCAATTGAAGACGATGGTGAACGGTTGCTCAATTTCGTGGATTGGTTGAAGTTAGACGTTACCACCGTTGGATGTCGGCTTAGTGATCTAGAGGTTAAGCGTACGCGCTCGAGACCGATAGGTCCTGGGTTCAAGTCGCGCAGGGTGGGATCGTGGATGCGCATTGCTGAGTCCCACACTAGGACGAAACGGCCGTCCAGTGCTTACAGGTTTTCCATGGTAATCTACCTTCAATTGACTTATGAATTCATTATAAAATTACTTAAATCTCCACAAAACCCTCTTCTTAAAATACAGAATAATATAATGTAGGCCAAAATGGATATATATATATATATATATATATATATATATATATTCAATGTGGACTATCTCAAACTGTCATTTTCAGTTGTCATTAACAATCTAGATTATGAAGTTTTGTACTAGGCTCAGTTCAGCAGACAGTCACTTCCTGAATTAAAATCAAGTCTTATTCACATCAACATTTCATTTATTCCAATCGGCTTCGACTTGCATGTCTCGTTGAAATGGCTTAAAACTATGCAAATGTAATATTGGTTTCAATTATTTCAACATTGAATGTCTTGTTGGGGTGATTCAGAAAACTTCTCGCTAAAGACAAGAAAAACTCGGGAAACATTGTGGAGCATTTTATCCAATCAGCGTTTGATTAGAAGTTTTGCTAGAAATATCACGAAAATGAAAAGTCACATGTAGAGGTTCTGATTGGCTGATAACTACACTGCTACTATGTTTAATAGCATTTTAGAATTTTCAGGAAAACCCAAGGTCTTCTAAAATACTATAAAAATCCTATATTTTCTGTACATAAATGAACCTTTGGAGTAAAGTGCTTCCCACATATTTTGTGCCTTTTCACTCGTGTTCAAGTCTCTGTGTAGTTCTAGTTTGGGGGTTACGAGACTAGGTTAGGAACCAAGTATAGCGTTCAATCATTAAGACTTATCAGTCTTACCTCAGAAGTACGTGTAATGCTTTCAGTACATTCATTAGATATTCTTTTCTCATAAACAATCAATGTAATTGTATGGTTGAAAAAGGTGCGTTTCTGCACGTTTCATTACAGTAGACATTTAGATAACTGGCTTGTGCTATAGATGGTGTACGTTATCAGAAAATTAAACAGGCCACTGTCTATTTCTATAGAGATTTTCTCATCCGTCAGAAGTAGGTTGGAAGGAAGCTAGAGAGGCTGAACCAAAACGTGGTATCAGTCTACGAAGTTGTTAATTTCTGGTCTAAACCATTTTGGTAAAGAGATACTACCAGGCTGGGGTCCGCGAGATAGCCGCAATCAATTGTTGGTGACTTTGGTCGACATGTCTGCGAATCGCTCACAATAACACAGATGGATCCACGCTTAACATACTCTCGGTCTTAAATTCCTGTATTCCTTTATCCATGTCTCTCCACTCTTTTTTTTTCAAACCATATTCTCAATGTTAATTCTCCTTTTTATCATTGTTAACACATTATTTCATTTCCTTTAATTACTTTTGTCACAATGTTAATGAGGTTTGGTAACGTGTTCCAACGAACCTCTGGGCCATTCTGTATGTTGATGATGTTTGTCTGTCTATTTTTATTCGTTGTCATGATTTGTTATTTCGTATAGCCTTCAGCTGCATAAAACTAAAACTATAATATCTCACATTGTTCTCGTTTGTAGTTCACACCATTTCTTTCTTTCTTCAGTTCTTTGTTATCAATTACTGTTAATCTATCAGTGTTAGTAAATAGTCGTTCCATCAGTTACGATTGTCTTTGCTTGGTAAGGTATTCAACTTTTGGGAACTAGATCACCTGTACAAGATGTTTCCCATCCACTTTTTTCCGATTGGCTCCTGGTAATATCACTAGCTCTCAGTGGTAAAGTTTGGTTGATGAATAAATGTGAAATGCTATACTTGTTTACCAAGCTACACTAATTACCATAAGCTATTATATATGTAGGGAACGAAAACCGGTGGGCAAAACAAATTTATTGTTTGATGCAAACTTACAGATTGCCTTCGTAAATTATGAAAGCCGTACATTAAATAAGTTATATGCTCATCTTCCTTCAATTGTCTCTTACATACTTCATGATTCTTAAAATTTTGTTATTATTACAATTGCTCTCCATTCCCCTTCCTGTTCATTTCAATCTTCTGCTGGCATGCATTCCACTTCCGAATGGTGCTACATGCTACTTATGTATGTCAATATAAGTAGCAACACTACATGTATTATAAAAATTTCCACTGTATATCTGTCTATGACAATTGATGTAAATCACCGTTGTCTAAAATCGATTTACTGATTGAAGATAAATAACCTTATTCATACTAATTTGATGCCACACTACAGCATTTTACCACTTAACCAATACAATCCATATTACAATAGATGAAACTGCATCAAATTTTTTATCGGCAACGTATAGAAAATTTTTTATTGAACGTTGGACAAACGGGACCATAACTTTTCCTGTTCAGAATAATATTTTTTTATACATAATAATTAATTTTGTTACAGAAATTCTACAAAACTGAAATCGGTTCAGTGGTTATGATTTTCGATATCATTCATTCTCATAACAGTGCCAGTCAACCGATTGTAATTGAATTACTAGCGAATTCGAGACCACCAGGTCACTTAGATTCTCGTCTTTAATTTAAATTACGTCTATTTCCATCATTCGCGTATTTATTTATTGTATTCTAGCGAAATAAAATTTTGAAATGTTCAAAAAAATGACTGATTGGTTTTATTTCCAATCCCCTTTTGTCTCTTCTTACTTCTGTTTCATACGTGTTTTATTATTGCTTAAGAATTTACGGTGAGAACGGATTAAGCAATTATTTTATCTTGGAGAAGCCTGAAAGACAAGATATTTTATTCATGAAAAAGGTAAACGTATTGCTTTATTTAAAGTTGAATTGTTTTATGTTTATGAAAACTTTATTTTAATACTATATATATATATATATATATATATATATATATATATATATATATGCCTTCTGTGATGTAAAACACATTGACATAATTGATGCCATACCAGTCTCAGGATTAACTTAGCCATAAACTATCTTGAATTAGATATGACTGTCTTCCTGCTTCAGTTTGCTTGTTTTTTTGTTAACAGGGTATCTGCGAACCTATTTAAAAGATCAACTTATCCATATAAAAAACAAGCACGTTAGGTTCGTCTTAATGTTTATTTAAACTGGTCACATTGCCCAGATCCTCATTCATCACGAGATTTATATTGCTCTTATTGATGTTCTCTGGAAAAACATTGAAAGTTTTACAATAGATGGTATATTTTTGTTGAAATCGCCCTTTTAATTTATAAGTTGCTCTGATCATCTCGAAAATACAATTCTTTTTTCGTTTCTTAAAAATTATAAAAGTGAAATATGTGACAAAATTCATTTTAAAAATATCATGTACTAAAATGTCCATTAGAGAGAAGCATTGTATAGGTTCAAAAAGTATACTGAAAAAGTAATTATTCTGGTTTTTATTGGATTCCTCGATTATTGGACAAATAATATTCTATATCAAAGTCATATGAAAAGTCAGTTGACAATGAAGTTTGCTACAGAAATTTTCCTCTTAGTCTGACAAACCATAAATATCCTTTAGATGTAAAGATTGCTTATGGGCTTTGGGCAGTTAAGATTCACTTTGTCTCCTGTTTCTTCACAGGTGGCTAACTTGGATTAAGTATATGATAATATGTGAATTGAACCGTTGAACACAACACTTTCACTTAATATGTTTTTTTTATGGTGTTAACAATTACGTTATGCAGTCACATGAGTTTACTTCTGATGAATACGTTTCTTATATGGATACTCAATGCAACTATTTGATTGAGAAATCTAAGAGTAACCGAGCTGAGAATATACCTATAACTCATCCATAAGTATTTATCTTTTTAATGACTGGAAGAACAAAGATTTGATCAGAATAACATGAATTCATTTGATCTTGTTAGGAACTGTAGTATTTCTAAATAAAAATTGTCGTAAAAGTTTAAAGTTTTGCAAGGAAATTTGATTAGAAGTGAATATGTATCATCACATTGGAGCGAAGCAACCACGAAGTTAATAAGATTAAGAAAAAGTGATTCAGATAGAAAAATGTGAGCTGGAAAATTCTAGAGCATTAAAATAGTAGATAAATTCATAGTGCTACGAAGTTTTACCCAATTACGTATGGAAGCTATTAAACACGGAATAATGGTTGTAAGGAATAGCATCAGTTGAAGTCAGACTATTAAAATTATGAATCGGAAAGAAATGAAAATGATTTATTAGAAATATGAGAAAGGATTGAAATAAACGATAATGGTAGGCGGCATATGCTCCTCCGCGAAGGGTAACAGGCGTAAGTAAGTAAGTAAGTAGTAAAATGAATGCAATCTTACCACATTAATGAAGTACCCATCACTGTATTCCTTTCATTTGAAAGTTTTTTGCAACCGTTTGTACTACTAAAATACTGTTCAAAGTAGGTAAATTAGCTTATACTTCAATCATTTAATTATAACTTATTGAGCTATGCCTTAGTGATTAAAGATTTCTCTACATTCAACCATTAGACAACACGTTGAAACTTCATACCATCTAATCGGGTTTAGGTAGTAGAATTGTATAAACCTCACATCTAAAGTGTGACTCAAAGCCATGTACATAAATCTGTACTTGGTTTATGAATTACATTTTATATATTATGATTACGTGGATTCTAATTCTTCATCTCTGCAACCAGTCTGACATATAAAGTATTTTTCTCATCACTATAGGTGAATTTGCCAATAAAACAAATATGCGATTGCTTTTTGTTATATTTAGCATTAACCGATGTTTATTTGTTTATCTCGTAATCTTGATCGGATTCTATCCATCAAGTGGAAATGTGATCACACTGGTGCGAGTGACTGGGCATCATGATGCATATTATCTTCGATTTTTTATGGTTTGAGACAATCGACATGGCGAAACCATAGAAATAGCATCTGTGCTAGTAGGTAATCACCACTAAGGAGTATCTGCAATTTACCAATGTCAGTGTAACAACAGGGCACAAACCGATCTTGTCCATCAGTACTAGTAATTAATATCTGCTGAACAATGATGGGTTTTCCTATAATTTCAATTAAAGCGAATGCATATATGTATATAGTTGTGGTTCCGGTAAATATCATCCTCTGACGCATCATCTAGCTCTAAACGATGAATTTATTTAATTAATGTTGATGATAGTAAGATCTAAATTTCTTTCTTTCTTGTGCCTTCTTATCACAGACTGGTGTGTTATTTATTGAAAATATTTACCATCAGTTATTGGATCCTAGTAACAAAGTAGACAATTTAGAATATCTGTCATGCACTGTTGGATTGGTCGCATTAGAAATGGGTGCAGAACAGGTTAGTTGTTGTAATTTTTTCTCTACACTGTATGCTATTCTAAATACAAAAAAGATGAAATGAAATGTGCTTTATTCTTTTGAATATTTTATTGAACTAGACAGTTACATTGTTTTTTAGATTTAAATACGGTTTAGTATCATAATAGATCTAAAAAAATCGTTATTCACGTGTTACCACCCGCATATTATTAGCAATAAATTGTTTTGATTGTATAGTTTTTTATTCTAACGTTTACTTTCATCACTGCGTAGAAATTAAGTTGTATATTCATACAACTGTCTATGCTGTGATTCCTCGTTATCACATATCTATAACGAGTGTACATCTTCCAATTCTCGCGTTTAGCGTCATACTTTTAGAACATCAAGTCATCTTTCAAACCTGAATCGATTCATGATATTGTTTTGCAGTCAGCGCACTGCTCATTCAACAATCTTCGTGTACCTGAAACTCCTAGTAATTTTTAATCTATCTAGCTTTAAAACGTGTTTTACCTTTTTTCTTTATTTTGTTTCGACGATATTTTGATACAAATTTATTTTCTGTGGAGACTTGTTGTCTACTGATGTGCTTGGATTCAGCTTATTGTAAATGTTGATGATTTCGTTGTATTTAACATCGTGCATGTATACTTTAATCTTTCTTAACTAAAGATATCTGACTGAATCCAGTTAATACTACACACAGTAATGATTAAGCTCAGTTATTGACTTTTGTCAATATGTCAACATGACTTATAACACGGAGCAGTTTACGATGTTATCTGTTTTTAAGTATTAAATTTACTTAAATGTAGTATAATAATTGAAAGTAAGACTATGGAACCAATTGTTTACAAAAACCATGCACGTACACGTACATATAAATACAAAAGTATTGCACAACTTGTTAAATGAATAAAGTTAGTAACATACGATTGTGTGTGTACGATAAATGGCAATGTCTTATCGATTGGCAATTCACACATCTTCAAATTAAGAATAATTAGTTAAATCAGGGTCACACGGCTTAGTAAGCGTTTCAAGTATTATTCAGTTCGTCAAATTATTTTAGTTATTCTACATGTCACTAACGGCGAATGCCTACAATTGGTGTTTCACGTAATCTGAAACTTCAGTCCCGAATTCTTCTGATTTCAATATTATAATCTAGGTCGGCCTTCTCGTTTAATATCATGTTTTACTAGTATCAGTGTTGGCATTAAGTTTCAATCGAAATCGATCCTATTATTATCATCACAACTACTGTAACTAATCATTCTGTTAGTGTTAGCAAATCTATGTAATGTGAATTACATTTTCTGGAAACGTATTATCTGCAATAGGATTTCTGAGTGTTATTTTTGACTTTTAAACGGTTAAATACAAGGTTATGGTTTTTAACTTCTGTTATATATCTTTTGTTTTCTTTCCTAATTGCACTAAAATTTTAAACCATGGAACATTAGATGATAAAAAACGCATCAAGTGCAGTTTTTTCACAAAACGTTCTATTTCATTCTCGTTTATTTTATTTTTTGTTTAATAAATTAATTCTTTCCTTCTTATTTTTTTTCAACAGGTTATTACAGAATTGTTTCGTTTAATCTTAGCAGTTCAAACAAAAATCATTGATGAAAATACATATATGCCGTTAACACATCGCTGTGCTTTACATGCATTACTAGCTAGCACAATAACATTACTTGTTCAGCTGATTAATCTTCAATCACTTAGTGAACATATTTATACTGTAAGTGACTTGGTTATTCGTCATAGTAGTATATCGAAATATATATGTGATAGTGAATACGATGAATGAAAATTTATTGACGATGCTCTCGGGTCTATATCCTTAGTCTAATGTTTTTATTACTGATCTCTGTTATATTTTATAAATACTTCACCAGAAGCTGATGTCATTTATGGAACCATTGAAAGCTTTTAAGAACTAGGAGACTATTTTCTTTTCATTTGGAAATCGTTAGTTGCTCGTACCTGCCATCTTATATAGAGTTGGATCCATGTTTCTTATGTATTTTTGGTAATCCAAATATCCTAATATGCTATGAACCTATCTCGAACTGAAAAATAATTACAGATAATTTGACGAATCAAATTCACCATCTTTTGACAATATCATTTACGGGAGCTATACAATTGTCTTCATGGCTATTTAGAAAATGTTTGTAGTCTATTGATAATTAGAAGGTAGCTTCACCACAAAGTGTTTGGAAATTTCAAATGTCACCAGAAATTTATGTAACGGATAAAGTTAGTGAATAATTGACGTTTCAAATACATGGAAGATGATTGTCCACTTAACGAATATCCAGAGGGTGAGGAGGAGATGGAAAATGTGGAGTTATTAAGAACAACTTATTACTGAGTATAAAAAAATATATGGGAAATTAGGCCCATTTAGATCTTGAATATGCTACTTCTGCATGCAGGTTTCTGTCTTCTACGCTTAAATTTCATAAAGTGTCTCTAATTTGCATAATTAACCGATCATGGTTCACTAAAATTAACAGGAGTTCACTTCACTTCCGATACTGTTGGTGACACTGATTACGTTTGCTCATTAGATTTTCAGGGTACGTGGAAATCTTGAGGGCAATCTTTAATGGAATCATATGGAATGTTTGAAAAAAGAAGTGAAACATATATCTACTGCTCTTCATATTTCGGTGCTACCTTAGCAGATGTTAATTTATGATCTTCACATTTGACAAATCCCCACTAACCGCATTACGAACTTTAGTAATTTTTTCACTGTATCTTTGTCGGATTTCCTACTTAGTTTATTTTCTTCCACTTTTAATAGGTTATTCAACGTAGACGAGACATAGCGCCGTGGTTACTGCCTTCTGTTGCATTTAATCGAACAAATACCGTGGACAGGTAGTTTTTTTATGATACTTCACATATGTTATTCATCAATTTTAGTTTTTCTTCAATTCGTCCATGTCAATTAACTATATGCCGATAATATTTAGTACAAAACTGTCAACAACCGCTGATGAGGGATGTCTGAGTAGCTAAGGTGTTTGACTTATAATTATTAAGACTCAAATTTAAACCCTGTCCCAAATAATTTCGTTTGAATGACGGATAGTATCAATAGCCAATTACACGAATCTGTACCTGGTTAATGAATTTTTCTTAGTAAACCTATGCCAAACGTATGTTGATATTGTACAATTAAAAGACTAAGGACGGTAGATTTTTAATTAACACACCCAAATAATAAAATCCAATCGAATAATTGTTCACTGGATAATCCTTGTACAAGGCTTGTATTTGACACACATCAGTAGCACTCGACTGCTCTCACTAAAATAGTAGATCGAGCAAGGTTTGATTCCATGATCTATTGATATCAAGCTGAATATTTTAACAACAACCTCTACACTACAGGTTTAGATATGTTTCATGCTATGATGTCGCAATTTGTTGATGAAATGCTGATATTAGATATAATTTACTGATATAACCACGGGTTTTGAATCTTTTTTTTGAAAGATAGCCAAAATAAAAGGTTAAAAATATTAAAGAAAACAAAAACTATCATTTTTATACAAAAAACCTTGACCACGACATTAATTCAATCATGATTTTTCATAAATCTGCAGCTGATACTATTTCTTAATGAAACATTATCTTGGTACTGGTCAAATCAGTCAGTCAGAGCACAGTAAAACCAGCTACATACATGCATCGGTTCAAGTTACCACATTATATTAGCACAACAAGATAAAATACCACGGTAGTGAAAGTAGTACTAATATCCGTACTGGTAGAATTAACTTGACATGGACAAGATTATTTTAGAAGATGCAATGAATTCGTTGTATAAAAAGTATAAGATTCGTTCGATGCCGAGGATCTAATGAATGAGAAAGGATGTATGTATCTGCGTCATTGTTACCGATTCTGGAACATGTCACTAGACATCTTCAACCTCAGTCAGTCAGTCAGCTACAATGTAGGACCAGGCACATTTATGCATCGGTCCAAGTTGCCATACCTCGTTAGCACAATAACATGAACACCGGATTCATAGAAGTAGTTAATTTAGTGGTGGTGGTAGTATATAAAAGATAGGTTGTATATGAGGATATAGTATAGGAAGGAAAAAAGTTATGAAGCAATTTTAATCTCAAAGTTTAAGGGAAGATAAAAAGTGTATATACCTGTCATTGTGATCGATTCTAAAACATGTCACACAGAGTCTCCAACCATTGGTTACGATAGTCACACGGACCCCAACCAAGTAGGCTGCACCTACCAACATGACTCAGACTAGAAGTTAGTGACTTCAAGCTCTGATGCCACGTTTTGGTTTGGCCGCCCCTATCTCTCTTCCAACCATCCCCTACACTAGTCAGCATTGCGCGTCGTGGTAATCGGCATACGTAACACGTGGCCTAACCATCTCAGTCGATGAAGATTCATGATCTCATCAACTGATTTACCATCATTCCCTAATACCCTACATCTAACCTCACTATTACTTACCCGTTGATCCCAGTAGACGCGAGCAATATTTCTAAGACATCCGCCTGTAGCTCCTCTGGGGGTTACTACCGGTCCCAAGCCCGGGTAAAGGAGGAGGGTTGGGCATGGGGTTAGCGACCCCATTCCGTAGAAAATCAACTCGCTAAAAAAACGCTAATCAGAAAAAATCATTCAAACATTTCAAACTCTGCCCTGGGAGTAGAAGGAATAATGACGTCTCATGATGAAAGCCGAGTTCCTTCAGAAGTCATGAGGTCGATGCACCTTCTTACAACCAGAGCAACAATTTTTATAGGTACATGGAATGTCCGAACAATGTGGGAGACCGAAAGAGTTTTCCAAATTGCTGCAGAAATGAGAAAATACAACCTGGAGGTTCTTGGAATCAGCGAAACACATTGGACGCAGGTTGGACAACAACGACTGTCTTCAGGAGAACTTCTGTTATACTCCAGTCATGAAGGAGAAAATGCCCCACATACACAAGGAGTTCCATTGATGCTGTCCAGAAAAGCACAAAATGCACTTATAGGATGGGAATCTCATGGACCAACGATCATCAAAGCCTCCTTCAGAACAAAGAGAGAGGGCATTACAATGAACGTCATCCAATGCTATGCGCCTGCCAACGACTACGATGAAGATGTTAAAGACCAATTCTACGATAGGCTGCAGTCGATATTCGAGAAGTGCCCAACCAAAGACCTGACCATTTTGATGGGAGATCTCAATGCCAAGGTTGGAAAGGACAACAGTGGATACGAAGACGTCATGGGACGACATGGACTGGGAGGAAGGAACGAAAATGGTGAGAGATTTGCAAACCTATGTGCCTTCAATAAACTGGTCATAGGTGGCACCATATTTTCAAACAAAAACATACACAAAGCCACTTGGATTTCACCGGATCACACTACACAGAATCAAATCGACCATATCTGCATCAACAAAAAGTTCAGGAGGACGATGGAGGATGTGAGAACCAGAAGAGGAGCTGATATAGCATCAGATCATCATTTGCTGGTCGCCAAGGTCAAACTAAAACTCAAGAAGCACTGGACAACGGTGCGAACAACATCACAAAAGTTTAATACGGCTTTTCTTCGAGATGCTGACAAACTCAACAAATCCAACATAGCTCTCAGCAACAGGTTCCAGGCCTTTCATGATCTACTCAATAGAGAGGGAACTACCATGGAGAACAACTGGAAAGGTATCAAGGAGGCAATCGTTTCAACATGTCAGGAGGTTCTGGGCCAAAAGAAGCACCATCACAAGGAATGGATCACTGTTGGTACACTGTATAAAATTGAAGAAAGAAGAAACAAGAAGGCAGCAATCAATATCAGCCGAACAAGAGCGGAAAAAGCCAAGGCACAAGACGAATACACAGAGGCAAACAAGCAAGTGAAGAGGAGCATAAGAACCGACAAACGTAAATATGTGGAAGATTTAGCGATGACAGTGGAAAAGGCTGCAAGAGAGGGAAACATGAGACAACTGTATGATACAACAAAGAAACTTGCTGGAAATTACCGTGAACCAGAACGACCAGTGAAAAGCAATGAAGGCAAAGTAATCACCGACATTGATGAACAACGAAACAGGTGGGTAGAACACTTCAAAGAACTCTTGAATCGACCAGCTTCACGGAACCCACCCAACATCGAAGCAATACCCACAGACCTCCCAATCGATGTTGGCCCATCAACAATTGAAGAGATCAGCATGGCCATCAGACAAATCAAGAATGACAAAGCAGTGGGACCAGACAACATCCCGGCAGACACACTGAAAGCAAATGTAGCAGCAACTGCAAAGATACTACACATTATCTTCAGTAAGATTTGGGACGAAGAACAAGTACCAACAGACTGGAAAGAAGGACTTCAGATCAAAATACCAAAGAAAGGCGATCTGAGCAAGTGCGACAACTTTGCTTACTCTCACCGTTTCTCTTTCTCCTGGTCATCAACTGGATCATGAAGACGTCAACATCTGGAGTGAAGCACGGGATACAGTGGACATTTAGGATGCAGCTGGACGACATAGACTTCGCAGATGATCTGGCTTTTCTATCACACTCGCAACAGCAAATGCAGGAGAAGACAACCAGTGTAGCAGCAGCCTCAGCAGCAGTAGGTCTCAATATACATAAAGGGAAAAGCAAGATTCTCCGATACAATACAATATGCACCAATCAAATTACACTTGACGGAGAAGTTTTGGAGGATGTGAAAATCTTCACATATCTGGACAGCATCATTGATGAACGCGGTAGATCTGATAGAGATGTGAAGGTAAGGATCGGCAAAGCAAGAGCAGCGTATCTACAATTGAAGAACATCTGGAACTCAAAACAACTGTCTGTCAACCGACACCAAGATCAGAATTTTCAATACAAATGACAAGACAGTTCTACTGTGTGGGTCGGAGACGTGGAGAACTACGAAAGCCTTCATCCAGAAGATACAAGTGTTTATCAACAGCTATCTACGCAAGATACTTCGGATCCGATGGCCAGACACTATCAGCAACAACCTACTGTGGGAGAGAACAAACCAGATTTCAGAAGAGGAAGAAATCAGGAAGAATAGCTGGAAGTGGATAGGACACACATTGAGGAAATCACCCAATTGTGTCACAAGACAAGCCCTCGCATGGAATCCTGGAGGTCAAAGGAGAAGAGGAAGACCAAAGAACACATTACGCCGAGAAATAGGGACAGACATGAGAAGAATGAACAAGAACTGGATAGAACTAGAAAAGAAGGCCCATAACAGAGTGGGTTGGAGAATGCTGGTCGGTGGCCTATGCTCCATTTGGAGTAATAGGCGAAAGTAAGTAAGTAATCTGTGGTCAAATACCAGTAACTTGCGAGTATTTTCTACTCTTAATGGCCATGTTTCGCAGCCGTAAAGTAGAACAGAGCGAACTGCTGCGCAGTATACTCGTCCCTTGATTGATAGACGGATATCTCGTCTTCGCCATATGTGACATAAGTTGGCAAAAACCAAGCGACCTTTTTGAATCCGTGCTGAGATTTCATCAGACACCAACCCATTAGGGCTGATCAGACTTCCAAGGTAAGTGAGGTTGTCGACGCGTTCGACTTCTTCGCTTCCTATCCTTAGTTCAGGTGTTGACGCAGGCCAGTCCTGGAGTAACAATTTTCATTTAGGTGGGGAGAAACGCATCCCAAACATCCAGGCATTATTACTCAGTTCTAACAGAAGACTCTGCATTTTGCCAGTGTCTTCACCAAACAGGACTAAATCATCTGCGTATTCTAAGTCGTTCAGTGGAGCCCCTGGTAGGAGATCAATTCCTGAAAATTCAGTCGACGAGAGTATTATTTCCAGGTCTATAATGAAGTTAAACAAAAATGGGGATAGTGGACAGTCTTGTCGGACACCACTTGAGGCTGCAAAATCAGATGACAGTTTGCCATAAGCTCTGACTCGACTAGTAGTGTTCGATTAAAGAGCCTTCACAAGGTTTATGTACTTTTGAGGTACACCTTTCAATGACAGACACTGCTACAGAACCTCTCGGTCTACAGAGTCAAATGCTGCTTTCAAGTCAAGAAAAACTATCATTGTCGGACTCCGATAAACATGTCTGTGCTCTAAGACCTGACGAATAGTGAATATGTGGTCAATGCAGCCACGACCAGGTCTGAAGCCAGCCTGATTTTCTCGTGTTTGCAGTTCACGAGTCTTAGTTAGGCGCCCGATAATTATTGAGGCTAGTATTTTAGATGCCATGTTAGTCAGACTAATCCCTCTATGGTTATCACAGGATGATTTTGGCGCCTTCTCATATATTGGGACAATCAGAGATTGTGACCAGTCAGATGGGATTACGTCCGTCTCCCAGATTTTAGTCAGAATATTAGTCAACCCAGTTGCTAAAATTGGGCCATCATATTTAAAGACCTCTGGATCCAATCCATCTGGATCAGCTGCTTTTCCTCGTTTCAGATTAGTTATAGCGTTTTGAACTTCATGTAGGGTCGAGGGCCTGCTTCAATGTTCCATTCCAGCTGTTTGGTAATAGTGGGTAGTTGTGCAATAGCTGAACTGCTCCTTAAAGTGTCCTGCCCATCGTTCTAAACGTCTGGGCTGAGAGCAGATAGGGGTTCCTCCTTTTACGAGATCGTTTCACTTACACTTGACTTACTAATTCCGGTTTCTTTTATTAGTCTGAATAGTTGCCTGGTGTTGCCTACAGCCACTGCCTTTTCCATCTCTTTTGCTTTCGTTGCCCCCCACTGCTCACGATCGTTCCTTAGACTTTTAGTCAACCTAGATCTTCAACCTATGGTTATCATAATCGTGAGGACACTAACCAGGTATTCTGCATCTACCAACACGGCTCATTCAAAGATTAAATGACTTCATGGACTGATTCCCCATCTTGATGTGATCATACTCAGCTTTTTTCAATCTACTTGTACACCAGCATTGATTAAAATTGTGCATACATTAATTCACTCAGGATAGAACTTGCAACCCTCATTTCTAATGATGACTACGATAGCGTGAGTCAATATCCAATGGTTTCTGTTTTTTAAATTAACTATAGTGCTATTTTCATTCTTTGTCATCAGCTTTTTACTATTTCATCATTCTCAATGTGGTTCACCACACAAGTCACAATTGTTTTCAAGATAACATCTTTTTGTGGTAGCATCTATCAATGTTATTCTCTATGCTCTCTCTCTTATGATTAATAGTGGTAATAATTAATGTCCCTTTTGTTTTCTAATTTCTTTCTTTTTTCAAACAGCTACCCAACTGAATTTGAAATAAATGATGATCTATTGTTTTCATCAGATAAAATAACTGAATCATTAGTAAATACTGGTTATGATACTGCTGTTTTGTCAATTCCTTATAATCCGATTTATTTACGATTATATGATGGCAAATCTCCTGATCCACTTATCGATGGTAACATTTATCCACGTGTAAGCGGTAATGAACATTTTACAAATCAGTCAATTTATTATGGTACCGTTGATGATAAAAATTCCAGTATTGCAAACTCGACTTCTGGTGCACGTATGAATTCAACATATTTAGATGGAACAATGCTATGTCGTGAAAGCAGTCGTAAGTATTTATTATGATTGGTTAATGAAGAATTCGTAGTGTCTATTTTTTAACGCTTCGTTGTAGCATTTTATTTAACAGATTTATCAAATTAGAATTATTTCAACTATCCGTATTGTAGTAGTAGATTGAAAAAAAGCTGAGTACGATCACACCAAGATGGGGAATCAGTCCATGAAGTCATTTAATCTTTGAATGAGCCGTGTTGGTAGATGCAGAATACCTGGTTAGTGTCCTCACGATTATGATAACCATAGGTTGAAGATGTCTAGTGACATGTTCCAGAATCGGTAACAATGACGCAGATACATACATCCTTTCTCATTCATTAGATTCTCGGCATCGAACGAATCTTATACTTTTTATACAACGAATTCATTGCATCTTCTAAAATAATCTTGTCCATGTCAAGTTAATTCTACCAGTACGGATATTAGTACTACTTTCACTACCGTGGTATTTTATCTTGTTGTGCTAATATAATGTGGTAACTTGAACCGATGCATGTATGTAGCTGGTTCTACTTTGCTCTGACAAATTGACTGATCTACTTTGTGATTAACTTGCATCCATATTTCGGTCAAGTGTTAAAATCATTCAGATGGCCTTTAAATATCAAAATCTTTTGTTAGATACTGAGTTGTATGCTCTCATTTCATGTGAAACATGTTTATTCTTAGTTTGAGCTGATTTATCTATTTGAAAACATAAGCATTGGTACAAAAGTGCACCAAATACATATGTGCCACACACTATCAATGAGACCAGTAGCAGTTGTCATTGATTCGTATGAGGGCTGTGATACTGCCAGTGTACCCAGAGCGAAGCAGGTAGTTTTCTTGGGTGGCCACACCCGGAGCCTTTGACCTGAAGGTTTAATCCACAAGACAGTGGAGCAACGTCAGATGTTTGGGAATCAAGGTTTTTCAACTCCCCTAAGGTGATCCGTATCCACCAACCCGGTTAAAGCGCTGGACATTCGCTTTTCGTCCTCTCAATTTCGTAAACAACACCCCCGCCACGAGAAGGCAGTGAGTAGGACTTCCCTGTCCGTTGCTATATACGCTTGGCCATGGTAGAGCATTTGTAGAGGGAGAGCAGACTCTCCCTCTTTCGATCGTACCTGGGCATTTGGGGACTGAAGTCAAGTAAGACTATATCATCGATTGCATCGAAAAGTGTCTCAGCGAAATACAATGTCACTGTGTTGCTGATTTAGAAACTGCAAACAATACAATTGCTTTTTTGCGTTTCATTGTCCCTTCTCTTCACTCTTTAGTAACTTAGCGGTTAAATTACTAGCTATTCAATCATCCAGCCTCATTTTTGAAACCTCTTTCAACCACTTCGCGTTAAGATAACCGAGGTGAAGTGCGTAAATTAGAAATAATCATTTGAAGTTATTGACGGATAAGATTAAGTGTCTCCTACTATAGATTTTGAGACATGATACATGTTCTTGCAGTGAATGAACCTACAGGTGAGACAACCTAATCCATTTTAATACAGAGTTAAAGATTCTCTTGATAAAATATAAGAACCAAACAATAATTACTCCATTTGCAAATTTACACCATTTTCCTTCATATTCTGTATTCTTCTAGTTCACAATTCTTTTGTAATTCCGTTTTCTTCAAGTCGACTTTCATACCCTTTTGTTGCCAGGATTTTCACTTCCCATTGGTGTTACATACTACTTATGTCTGTCGACATAAGTAGAAAACACCACAGTCGGAATAATTTCATTGGATTATTTATCGTTTTAGATGAAAATTTATTACAGTTATAGACCAGATATCTTCCGATATTTATGTGGTTCAGCAAGATGCAAGATACTGTGGTAGGAACCATTCGTACTTGTTGTCGACTCGTGTGTTTTCATTGCGAATCCGTTTCTGTTGTAACAATCCACACCGTCATACCAATGACCCTTACATGTGAAGTGTGACTCAACTCTGAGTATAAAATGCTTCTCTTTCATTAATAAGTTACAGTTAATTGAAACTACTTTTTATCAGTAAATGACCTGTACTCAATGTGTGATACCATGCACATTCAAATCAGTTGTTCACTGTTTCTTATTGTAATTGAGTAACTAAAACAGAGTCATCTGGATTTGGATTTCGGCGAAACTGTTTTCATGCTCTCTGCCTCGAATTTATGTTGGTAGAATAAGGTTCAAACGTTTAATCCAGTAAATTAAAGTAGGCCATTTCAACTGTTTGATAAATTTATTGTCATTTACTTATTTTTTTCCAATTTCAGTAATAAAAAATTGATATAATTTGAAATCCTTATTAGCGTATTTACTTATCGTTGTCAATTCATCTAATTTCGACATATCTGATAACAGCCCATTCTATGCTCTATAAATGTTTTATAATTTATTTGTATACAGTAAAAGTGTACTTTAATTTATACGCATACATGTGACACTGTTCTTGTATATAATGATACCTGAAAATTGAATGCATTCGTTGTTACTGTTTATTAATTAAGGTTATTTTGGAACAGTTAAGCAGAATGTTATTTATTTCATAAGTGAATAGTAAGCACTTTTCCTTCATGGTATATGAATGAATTAACTTCCATATCTCTTAGTAAAAGTTTCTATTTCCGTTTTTACAAAGCTGTAGTTTCGTCTGTATGTGTATCATATATTATGCCGGCAGTAGTAAACGTTTTTGTTACTTAAGAAATATACTTTCGGTCAATCACAGCTTCATTTAACGTATTGAACACACATAAACACTTCATAAGTTTCATAAAATGTATCAGTTAAACAATTAATTCTTATAGTTTTTGTCAGTACTATTGTTTACAAACATGGCCCACTTTTTAATTGGAAAACATGAATATTTATGTGAAAACACAATACTGATTGAAAATATATAAATTTTCGATAAATTCTCTTCAGGTTCCACAATTATGTATCCAAATTAATAATCCGAAAAGAAATGGCCAGGTTAAAGGCAAAGTACATTGTTTAAAGCATGTAAATTTAGGATTGTCAAACCAAATAGAATAAAATTATTCATGTTGGTATGACTTATATAGAATGTCAACTTGAATCTGTATATATGTTAAGTGAAAATTTAAGATCTGTGATCAGAATAAATATGGGTCAGATAGGATGAGAGAGAAATGATGGTGCTCGCGAACACCTCCCAGCGTGGCTAAACAAAGATTTGGTGAAGAAAGTAAACAGCTCGCTATTGGCCCATTTAGTACAAACTGGTCATAGTGCCAGTATAAACCAATCCTTTTTAGTTATTTATAGGGTCAGTAATTTTTGAATCAAGTGAAAATTCCCATTTTGACATTTGATAAATAAAAAGCAACGAATGGAGCGAAGAAATTTCTTTTCAATTAGTTTTTCATCATGGCTCTACACTAATATATATATGATTTACAATAATTAAATAACACTCATGGTGTAGATACGTTACGTAATAATTATATAATGACATCGATTATAAACTAACATTAATTGAAAGAGAAGGATTAATACTAATCAGAGTTATTATTCGAAAATCAATCAGTTGCTACGTTGCATAATATATAAAAATGAGAAGAAAGAACTAACAAAATATTTTGATGAATGGTCACCCTAATTGTTTTCAACTACCTCTATAAATTATTCAATTATTACGTAACCCACCCTAATTGTTTTCAACTACCTCTAAAATAATCACATTTTTGATTTTATCTGTCTCTGAACTCCACTCAACTATTACGCCTCCCTTTATTTCAATACCTAATAACCTCTGATCTTTCCTTGCCCATATATATAGTTATCATCGGTGACTTTCGTTATTCCAATCCTTTACATTCAATTATGTCAATTGTTCCACATTATTTATTACTCCAATGATAAAACTCTAATGCATATTTGGTTGTAAGCAGCTGATGAGAAACCACGAAATATAATGAATTCATATTATTCTGCATCAATATTTGTTCTATCTTTATTTAAATTCATAAAGGGAACTAACTAATATAGTAGTTATGTAAGAATCAAAAGACGAATGAAGAGAATAAGTAAAATACAAAATACGAAAATGGAAGGAATAAGATAATTGTTTACCGAAATTCTGCTACAAACTCCGCTATACCGATGGCCAAGGTGGCGAGAGTGGTTGTACAAACTTCTTTTGGATACAAAGGTTCGGTTTGTGAATATGAATTGCGATGGCTTCAGCTATATGTAATAGACGAGCTCGTAAACCATGTGGAGAATTTGATGGAATATTGTAGATAACCTTAAAAGCTTTATTCAGTTCAACCTGATGACCTGTGTCCACAAAGTGAGCGAGAATAGAACTCTTAATCCCTTTTACATGTCCTTTGGTCAACCACGACGGATGGTGTTCTGTTATTCGTTGACAAACTTGCCGAATTGTACGCCCTATATAACTGGCTCCACAGGAGCAGTTGAATTGGTAAATACACATAGATGTGTCGAATTCAGGCGATCTGTCTTTATTAACAGTTCTTATTGTGGGGCGTTTGTAGAAGACGGTACTAAATCGGGTTGCATTAAATGTTTCCTGTACTGCCCTTCTTAACCTCTGTGTCAAGATTTCTTCCGTAGCATCATTTAAGAATTGTAACTTTAGGAACAGTACCTTCTTCGGAACAGTAGGTACCTTTGTCCTTCTTTTTGTCTCCATCATGTGTTTGTCGATGAATTTCATTGGGTACCCATTCCTAATAAGCAAGTTTCGAATATTAACCAATTTATCTAAAATAATGTCATCAGAGCAAATCATTCTAGCACGATCAGTCAGGATCTTTATTAAATTTCTTTTGTATTTCATTGGTACTGCGTTATAGAAATGAGTGTACTGTCCAACTGTAGATTTTCTATGCAACCCTCTTTTTAATGTTCCATCTGCTCTTCTGGTTAGTTGGACATCTAGAAACGATATACTACCATTCTGTTCTTCTTCTGGTGTAAAGGTAATTGACGGGTGGATATTATTAAATATATTAAGGAT